CTCGCCTCCTCGACGAAACTCGTCCGCTCATCTCGCGTGCATCGTCCAAAGGGAGGAAGAATTGCATCCCTCTGACAGATAGCTAGCCCTGTCGATAGGTGAATCCAACACATGTGATTCCAAACAACTATCCTTCCTCGTACATACAAGGCTCTCCGCTTCTGTTTTGTTAAGGGATACATACATATCCAATTGCCCACCTCTTGAAAATCGTAGATTTTTGCAATTCAGCACTTAGGGCACGAAAAACTCGGAGGCAGACTTCGATCACCGCGATCGAGCAAGCAAAAAACTTAACCCTACTCATGCAAAAGAGGGTTCAGTTCATGAGTTCACAAGAACATACCCATACTAGAACAGCTATTAGAACTCACCGACGGTGTGTCGTTGATGGGGCCCATCAGGTAATTTGAAACTTGATGGGTCTCGTCAAGCAATTTAAATTTTGATGGGGTTCCATCAAGCAAATATGATATAATTTTTGAAAGTGGGAATGATGTGTTTGATTCGTTGTCAATTATCACTCCATATTGATTTGATCTTAAGATGTCTTCACATCCTAAGCAATTACTAACTCACTTCTGAAACTTCTCACCTACATGCTACAATATACCTTGAGCTTTCAAATTACTCAAAGAGATGTTACTCCTTGGTATACATGATTCTTACACTTCCATCTTATAGTAAAGAGTAACAAAAACTTGCAAAATTATCATATGTTCTTTCTAAAAACATTTTACTTTGGATTTTTGAGTTTCATCTTTTACTTCTTAAGCTACCAAATAATCTAACTTTCACATTTTTTCTTCAAATAAGTAAAAAAGATGTAGAATAAGTTAAATAATATAAGTTAAAATTTTTTCATGGAAAATCATATTTTAATATTTTAATATTCTAACTATTTTTTAACTATTTTTTCCCTCAATCATTTTTTTCTCAAAAATCCAAAAAAAACCACATACATCAAGTAGAATATGTTTTTTTTTTGCTTTCAAACATATATATTATAACAACACGATAATAAAATATCTATCTTAAGAAGTTGGGCATTCCTGACGAATGATTTTAGCATCAAACACATAGCCACATATAGCTCTGAAAAAGTCATCTCTGTATAGTCAGTACTCTATTCTTTGATTAAATAATTAAATTTTGAATGAAATTCATCATGAAATGAATGGAGAATTTTGCATATTAAAAAATAAAATCTAAATCGATGAAGCATCCAAAAATTATAGTACTTAACATTAGTCATAATTGCAAGATGACCTAAAGGTTATTCGTTTTGCTTTAAGATGCTTTGACTAGATGCATTTCTTCATTGTTATAAGTTTTGATATATCTAGTGTTGAAACCTCTGCTAGATAATGTATGGTTAAGGAAGAAACATAGTTACATGGATTGAAAATTAACTCTATTGTTTGCAATATTGTAAGAATGAAAAGATGGATTGAGACAAACTTGATCAATGAAGAACTATAAGTTAAATACCTATAATAAAAAAGTATACTAAATTTTTTCACTATCATAAAATGAACAAGATTTTGAAATAGATAATATTGAAGTTAAAATCATAACTATTCTTTAATGATTATAATTTTAAAAAAAATTAAATGATATTTTAAAATTAATTTATTTTATAAAATATTTTTTATAAAATATTTTTTATAAAAAATTCAAATATATATATATTATTTTTAAATATATATAAATAACAGTATTTTATTAATTTATATATATTAAATTAAATTAAAAATGCTAAGTGATCCTTATTTTAGAAGATTATAATACTTTTATATTTATATAAATATGTTTACTATAAAAAGAAATCATTGGAATTTTTTAATACATTTGAAATATTCTAAATTAAAAAACAAAGAAATTTTTTTGAATATACTTAATATTCCTAAATACGTATCAAATGTACAAATTTTGAAATTTTACCCAAGTTGTATTTATATTAATTTATGGAAAGAGTGAAATTTTTAATTTTTTACATAACCATTTAATTAATTGATGTAAAAGTTATATATATAGTTCTTACGTTCAATGATATATATAGTTCTTATAATTCAAAATGTATGAATCTATCAAACATGAAACAAAAATATCTATTATTTTGAATTTCACGAGCATCTTGAAAAGATATTTTATATCTTGTAAGAACTATGATTTCATGATATCTTGGTAGATGAGTTTGATAAATTCTTTATTGTTTGTTGTAATAATTTTAAGTTTATCAATGATAATTAGCTACTCAAAAATGTTTTCTTCAAGATTGTACTTCATATGAATTTGAAGTTCTCCTTGTGTCAAATTTTTGTTCAACTACAATTCTGAATGGAGATTTATTTGATGGAAAATCTGTTTTTTTTTTTTCAATGATCTAAATCATCAAAAAGAAACATCCTGAGTTTTAGTATTTTTTTGAACAAGGGGGGAAATTATCCCAAAAATAAAAATAAAATGATAAAAAACTTCCTAAGAATTACTTTTAACTTTGTTAGGTTGTTGTTATCTTACACGCTACAACTCTATAACTTTTTCTTCATCAATGAACTAAAAAATTATTGAAAATGAATCTAGTAACTAACTATGATACACTCATCTCTATACTTAGATATGAGACAATAAGTCATACAACCAAATATTTCAAACAATTAAGTTTGATCATTTTTTTATGATCAATTCAAACTATGTGAGAACATTGCAAGACAAATTCATTAAACATATTACAATAATAACTTCAGCCCATAATTCATATGATGATCTTGATTAGTTCAATATATCATGCAACGTCTTCAATATTGTTAAATTTCAAAAACAGAATTATTTTGTGGTGTATAAATTGTGAGGAGATAGCAAATGATAATATATTCTTTGCAATAAACTTTAAACTTCTCAAAATATAATCTCTGCCGGTGTCTAAACTATATGTCTTATATTGTGTTCAATCTGAGTCTCAACTTGAATTTTTTAACTTTTGAATATTATAAAAATTTCAAACTTTTATGTGAAAAAATAAATCTTGAATAATGTTCAATAAATGATATATAATATAAAATTTTCTAGGAATGAAATTCTAGGATAGACTATCCAAATCTACAAACTTAAATAATTCTTTTCAACAATAAGGTTCAACATCAAAAGCTGTTCTTTAATGTTTATGAATAACATCATGTTTACAAAACTCTAATTCAATTTTACCTATGTTAATTAACAACCTCATATCACAAAACAATGTCAAACATGTATTACTTCTGTATCTAAGGCTAGAATGTCATGAATCATCTCAACTTAAGTTCTAAAAATCTGATTTCTCCAAAAAAAAGGTATTGATCTGTAGCATATATTGTTCTATGGTTGTCTAATTTTTAACAGTTTCTCATCACGTATATCCACTAGAATGATTTTTGTTTGAATTTCATTCGAGAACTTTTGAATCTAGTTTAATAAATCATAGTTTTGGTTTTCAAACTATAATGATTATGAAAGTGATCATTTTTGTCACATTTTAAATTATGTTCAAAAAAATATACCAAGATTAAGATCTATCTGAAGATTAAAATCTTTTGTTATCTTAAATATTTTATGCATATGATCGTCCTTGAATCATATTAATTTTCGTATTAAATGACGATGGGTGAGATGACATCATCATCTTCTACTGTAAATTATGAATATACTTACAATAAAATTATATGTGTTTTCATCGAATATGCACCTTACATATTGATTTAGAAAAAATAAAATTAATTGTACCTTGCTTCACAATCAAATATCACATTTGATTTGCTAATCTGACTCATAAATAGATATTCACCATTATTGCCAATATTCATGAGAAGATGTTCATTCAGATCCTCAGCACTTTATATATATAGCTTTATGAACTTTTCTTATATTTTGGAATTCAATTTCAATTAGTTCATCATACTCTACCACTTCAGAGTGTTATTTTCTGAATATATCTTAATGTTGCTTTCGATTATGTAAAACAAAAGTCTTTTGCTTTAACCAAAGTATTTCTTTAGATCCCAATGTGATGAGGTCTGAATACATTACTTGAAGATGTGGAACCCTTTGATCCAAAAACAAGTATTGGAAATAGAAGTCAATAATCTTATGGTGTAGGTGAAGTAACATTTGGTGAAGTATCCTTTTGACGTAATTGGTCTAGAGATCTGAATAAGTATAAGTTGTCGAGATCGTCTCAACAGTCATTCTGAAATCTCATTTGAAGGAAATAGTTTGCAAAATAGTTATGCTGCATAGTGCATGAAAGTTCTTTCCTTCCACGATGGTTTCAGTAAAGTTAAATGTAAAAAGCACATGGAAACAACTATTATAGTTTTCTCTCTGGAGGGATGGCTCCTTCTCAGATAACGAACTTACGAGGAATCAGATCTATCTAAAATTACGCAGAAATATTAAGCTGACCTTGGGAAATGTCCCATGTTCCTCCTTATAGTTTAGGGTAGTATAGTAAGTTGCGCAGTTGCAGTCCAGGTTCAGGATACAGTCGTAAACCTGACTCAGTACGTGACTAACCTTTACGTTACTTAGGCAACAATCAGTAGCAAGCTGTCTTCTTGAGGAGTTCGAACTACATATATAGTTTGTGGATGTGACCGGAGATTTCGACAAACTTCATATCCAATGTGGGTAAGAAACTGGACTCTGCTATAATTTTACTTAGAGGCTGAAATGTCGTTAATCATTGTACTTATTGTATTGAAAGGATTCTCCAGGTCATACGAAACCCGTTAGTGCAGCATATGTCACTGGTATCATACCGGTATTATGTTACCGGCAAATTGTGATGTGGATCGGAAGTCCTCGAAGCCAACTACAGCATCTAATGAGCATATGCACAGCTTCAGAACCACACTTATACGACACACAAATCATGTGATAACGCTGGAAAGACAGATGTAGACGAGAACCACACCGATGCCGTCGTCATGGACTCAAGATCCCAAGCCCATGCATGCGAATATGCTTTAAGAGCAACACCTTTTATTCAGCATTCGTAGCATTCCAAATGTCCTGCCTCCAGGGGATGGACTCTACGCATGGACTTATTGTCATATTCACCCTTCTTCGAATTCTAGTACATTCATGCGTTTGCTCGAGGGCTGAGTTCAAGGGCTGAGCTGCAAAAGGTACTATACAAGTCATACTACACAAGCCGAAGGAGAACTACAGGAGCTTCCTTACGATGGAGCTTCGTTAACGAGGTACTGGCATACATCAGGGTGTGAGTGTCTGGAAGTGAGTGTTTGTGAAACTTCATGGCACAGCTCCACTTTCATGCGGTTCCATGCTCTAGGCCCACCCCGAACACTTTATTATACATCACCACGTGATAGCATGTCCATCAGACGAAGTCCCCTGATGTATTACTGCGTGTGCCCGAGGTCTTCGAAGGAAAGTTGAGCGTGTCCGCCCACCCTGGATGCGACCAGCTCTAGGACCGGCGAGTAGAATGCCTTGGAGCTGCGTGGTAGAGAGACGGCACAAGTGATCAGACTACCGACATACAGATCAGATCAGATCAAAAGGAGTTCAACTACGTGATGAGGTAAGCCATTATGCAGGCACTTGAGATTAAGCTCGGCGAATCCAGTTTGCATGTTGTTTCGGTAGAATTGTACTCACCTTGTGCTCGTCTCGAATGAGAAGGAGGGCTCGCACTCCTTGCAACTGGAGCTGGCATGATCAAGACATATATGTGAGCTCAACATGTTGATGAATTGTTCAGAAGTAGAATATTAGAGGATGCAGCGCACTGAAGAGGCATACTTGTCACAAGGTGTACGCAAATTGTCAGTGTCTACTTAAGAGATGGGATTTGAACGAAGCTATACAGAAATCGAAGACCCTAACGAGCAGGCTGAGAAACTCACTCGCAGTTGCCTCCATTGCTGGTCTTCCTGTCGCAGTCGCAGCTCGACATGGCGATGGCTAGTGGTCACGGAGACAAAGGTAATGTGCAAAGTAGAGCGAGTGGTTCTCGGCAGGAGCTGCGAGGCGCAGATTTTCGCTTTCTATCACAATTTGAATCTCTCACCGAAGCATATGCTTATATAGTTATGCAAACAAACCTCTACACTGCATAGCTTTTGCTTTTAGTGGAAGTTCAAAGCTCGTCATCGGTGGGCCATGCCAACGCCATCACGGGCGGCAATAGTGAGCCGTGTCAGTCGTCCACTGAGTGATCACATCTCGACGTGCAAATGACAATCTCTGATTGCTTCTGCCTACACAGTATTCCAAAGGCCAACACTCGCTCACCACAAATATTGGCATCGTTTCCCAGTAGCTACTCTAGTATGAAAACCTTACCCAACTCATCAACGTTTTCTGCGAAAATCCTTTCAATAACTCACGTCATCATCTGTTCGTCGCCTTCGCTTCAATTTGTACAGTAAAAGGGTGATCATGGCCAGGTTTTGAAAGTCACAAGGATGATACTCCAATGAATTGTCTGTGATCATAAGCCAGCTAGGTTCATGCCCGGAACTGCCTTTTTCTTTCACTCCCTTGTTAGTGATTCGGAACTCACCAGGTATTTTAATTATAGTCAGACATTGCTCAATTTCGGCAGAACCAACTGCATGTGGTTCCGAGATTTCAGAGAAATTTCAGAGACACTGAAATCTTGGGTGCTTATGTTATCTGGCTTTTCAATTGATGCATGCTATGTGCAGAAGAAAGTCTTGGAAATTCTTTCCTGATATTCTCACAATAACAGATTCATCATATTAATGGGCACAAAAAGCACAGAAGGACACAAAAATGATCTACCAGAGGACAGATTGGATATATATATAAGAAAAATTGTGGCTTGGGTGCAAGGGGACTCTCCAAACCTCACGCTGGGTTTGACATAGTGCAAAAGCAACTTCAAATATTGCCCCCGTGACCTCAAGCTACCCAAATTAAGCTTCTCCTGGCAAGTACATGAGTGCTATTCCGTGAAGGAACACGAAACCGACAACTGATCTAGCAGATCTCTTTAGATTTCATCAATTCAACCTAGGCAGAGGATCACGTGGATCAATGAAAAGAAGCAAAATTTTCCATACCGTAATAGGGGCCAACTTGATTACGTTACAGCCTAGAACCGAGAGTTTGGAGAGCCTGCTGCAGCAAAAACTGAACGGAAGGGGCTTCTGTGGGCCGGGATGGTCACCGCTAGACGAGATCACCTCACCAGGATCGTTCAGTTGCAGAGGAACCGGAACACGGATTCTGGTCTCTGCTGAAGCTGGGCCCCAGCCACTGGGGACCGGTTCGGATCCCAGGTCGCAACGAACGTGGTAGACCGAAGTCACCAACCTGCAAACTACACGCTTTTGAAGAATATCTGCTTTGCTGAACTCAGTCCGAAGCACTCTAACCATTCCACACGAGCACGTCAACGTTGAGAAGCGTTCATTCTGGCTACCGTGGGGCTGACTGCAACTGAGTTGTGCTAAAGTTGCATCCGACGGCCTACACGGCTTCAGCAGGAACGCTATCCTTGAGTCGACCACGTTCCTACTCGGGAGGGAACCCAAGAGGTCAGGATTCCTGAGCCTGGTGATGTGCACATGCCGTTGTTGAGTGTGATTTCGAAGCTAGCTTCTAGATTTCAGTGTTGCTGAACTGAAGTGAATGCGACAACGAGCAGATAAGTCTGCAGCCTGGATGATTGCGTTTCCTTGGACATATTATCAGTGGCTAGCTGAGCATTTGAGGGCTTGCAGTACATCTCCAAGGACGCTTGGCCTTTGACATGCACTTCCTGTTTTTTAGACAAGTGACAAAGATAAGGCCCTTCTGTAACTAGAACCTCGTGATCAGATGCATATCCGCATCGGAAAGGTCTTGTACCGTTGGCCTGGCCCACCGATCATGATGCGTGCTGACCGCCAGTTTCGGCGTGATTTTGATCGTTTCTAAGCTCGCTGGGGCTATAAGACAGCGACGTTCAGGTCTCAGAGCATTGCTTGCTTGAAAGCTAAATTTGAGTCTTCCGAGTCATTCGAATTTAGAGCTTCAAGATGTCGAGCTGCGACTGCGACAGGAAGACCAGCAACGGAGGAAACTGCGAGTAAGTTGTGTGAACAACTGTCTTGTCTCAGATGCAGATATACGAACAGAGGGGTTGCAAGCATCTGCATGCCTTTGTTCAGAAGTTTACTGCTGTCATTGTAACGATATAATCATCTGACACCAGAATACTCGAGAATTCACTGTGTCGATAACAGAAGACATCTTCTCGGTTTTGATATGAACAATTTCAACAGTTCGCGGTTCCTGTGACAAAAGTCAGTTACTAATTGAGGAGTTATCCAATAGCATGATTGTACCGCAGATAGAATAACTCCTGGACCTGTTGATCTGATTGCCTTGTCACAGCTCCAGTTGCAAGGAATGCGAACCCGTGTTCATATTCGAGACAATTTCAAGGTTCGTGCACTAGGCCAGTATTATTTCGATTATTAGATAAGAAATAATATTTTATTACTCTCGTACAAACAAAACCGTTTTCAAGTTTAGACTTGAAGTTTTTAAGTCTAACTGAACCACGACTTTGAATTTCTCACTGCCTGCACAGCCTCACGTTGCTGTATGCCCCTGTGGTGGTTGCCGCTAAGGCTGCTGGTATGGAGACCGTCGAGCTGTTCGACTCGGGCATTGGTCAGTGACGTGCAACCAAAACTGGTTAAGGAGAAACCAGAATAAGTTTTCCAACATGGGCTTTTCATGCTCGGTGTACTCTAGTGGTCACCAACCGGCCGAATCAGGCGCTGAAACTTGGATCTGGTGTCTTAATCATGTCAGATGAAGCTGTGTCAAGCTTTTGTAAATGTTCATATAGTCAAATAAAGTAGTAAAAAAAATTGGGCTTTCCAACAAGAGTCTCGCCTGTTGCCGGTGGTTCGACTGCAGTAAAAGTACGTTGAGAAAAGATATCTGGGCTTTAAACACGTCATATAAATGGTTTGTTTTACATAAGAGTAATGAGCATCTCCATGCAAATTGAGAAACCATTTATCGGATTCACAACCTCGAGTGTTATCTACTACAGTTTAATGTATTGCACAAGCTGAAGGACACTCAGGGTACCTTAGAAGAAGACTACAAGTCCTTACTAGGTACTGAAAGTACCTTAGAAGACCTAAAAAAGGTTATATTCCATACGAAATCATGGCTATGCTATAAAAACCGACGCCCCAAAGCTTCGACATTATTCCTCATTTTTCATCGATTAGTAAATACAAGTGGTTAAAGGCAGCAAGGTATTTGCATCTACTTTCTTTCCTTTGTAACATGCTTCTTTTGGGCGGGGAAGTGGTACTTTTGCCTCCGTTTACATCTTTCCGATCAATCTTTGGAAACTTTTCAGACTTTTCCTATTGTTTCTCGCTGTCAGAATCTACGTTTTTATTGTCAAAACACCATCCTATAATTGACCATAGGACCTCAGCTTTACAGGAAACATTTCCATGAGTTGAGGCATCGTGATAATGTTCATCATAAAACTGAACTTGAGTTTCACTCACAATTGCTACCTAACATCTGGATGAAAGAGGGTGAAAAGAAGAAAATGGACATTGAGATATCTTTTGAAGTCTACTACACTAATTGAAAATTGAGTTCTGATACTACATTAGAAGAATTCTGTGTGCACTGCACTGTGAACTTAGTGTCAAATATCTGGTCCTGATAGTGCCAATTGCATACCTCACAAAACCAAGGAATTACATATTATATCCTTGATTTAAATGAAAGCCTCTGGAATATGGCAAGAGAGAATGCTCAAGAAACTTACACGAGAAGACTTGTTTATTTTAGGTTCTTTGCAAGCCGTGATTCAATATGATTTATCCCGTCCCGAGAAAACTATCCGACCGTGCCTACGTAGCATAGAGAATATTCTAAAATAAAAACTTGCAAGAAAAAGTCATTGTAGAAAATTCATGTTTTGGGACCCTATATGATCATTTTACAGGCAAGGAGGAACTCGACGAGAGTTCTTAAATTGATCGCTATCTAGCTTCTCGTTTTGTTCATTGAAGATGTTGGTAGATCGAGAATTCTTTCAGTCATGGTGTTGTTATTCTTTAATAGAGACACGTTATCATTCAAACCCGTACATCAAAGAGACACCAAATCAGATCAACAACTAAATGTTCCTAGGATGCGAGATGATCAGTTACAGATAAAAGTACAGCTTTACAATTATTTATCACAAATCAGGCGCGCTTTGTGCTCGGATCACAAATTCAGGATAGCCTACGTACCACAGATTACCTCTACAGACCAGAATATCCGGTTGCTATTTTTAAATGGCCTACATGCCACGGATTATCTTTACAAACCAGAACATTCGGTTGCTCCTTTGGTTCCGACCACTAATGCAATTGAGCATCAACTTTGCGGAGCATTTTATAAGGATCTGCAACTTGTGATCTCCTCTCGCATGCCCACAGCTGAGAACCTTCCATATTACTGCCCGATGTCAGTTGAGAAAGCCACGACGGATTCCACTCCTGCTGCCTTGGAAGTGAACACTACCGGGCTGTAGACCATCTTGGGGCTGTGAACACGTATCACACAATCGATTAAGCTTTTACATCTTCTGCCCACGGTACAACTCACGAGCTAGCTTCTAATTATGATACATATGATTTTCTTACGAGGCATGACTGCTATGACCTGCATAGGGTAAAGAAAACAGGGTCCGACACTGACAGAGGAGAGCACGAAACACGATATTCCGTGCGCTACTTTTAGTATTTAGCCAAGAATATGTATATATAAAAGAACCTCGGAGGTCATCGATTTCACGATGATAAAGAATAAACAAACAGTGGGTCGAGTCCACCAACTCGGAATGGCTCGAAGTCTCCCGACCCGTGATCGCGATTTCTCGCTATCAAACCCGGAGCAGAGGGCAACTAGATGAACTAGATGACCGGAACATGTTGAACTAGACTATTATAGAACTAGATGCAGCATACGATAGAGAAAAAATCATGTAAGTCCAGAAAATCCGTGAGCAACAACTTAGAATTGATAGGCAGACCTTGAGCTGGTTTCGAAGACGAAAGTTGGCTCGCACTCCTTGCAGCTGGAGCTGTCATGATCAAAAATAGACAAAAAGCTGCAGTCAGTTTATGCGAGCTAATCAACGTACTACAAAGTAAGATGTATGTATTCGAGAATTGATGGAGCAAATTGCTTCGAGGTTCAGACTCTTGATGTAACTATTGCAAACACGAGTCCGAATGTGATGAGCCGTGAACCGCCAACTGAGATCGAGATCCTAACATATCACCGGATTGAATTCCGAGGAGCTCTAGAGCCCATCCAGAGAGTCACAACTTCAAGAATTGCCGTGCGGAAAACAGGCGGAGAAAGGCCTTACTCGCAGTTTCCTCCATTGCTGGTCTTCCTGTCACAGTCGCAGCTCGACATGGTGATGAGTGGAGGTGAAACGGACGAAGGATGTGCGAATGAGTGAGGGAGGAAGAAGCTGCTGGTGCTGAATGAGAGATGCTTACTTGAGCTCGACACACTGAGCTGAGTCCCAAATGCTGCTACTTATACCCGAGGGATCGAGATTCGCGCAAACGGTTGCGGTGATCGGTCGTCAGCAGTGGGGCCGGCTTACGAGACATGGGCAAACAGTGCACACAATATCAACCTCGGCCCTTCACCGCGAGTAATTAATTCTCGTGCGGCAACCAAACCGGAGCGATCGATCCTTGCGTAGACGCCGTGGCGCCGGCGTCGCATCGCAGGGCCGTCGATCCATCTCAGGCTCTGTCGCATGCGCTTTGCACAAAAGGGCTCGACGCGATTCTGAGTGTCGGGGAAAAGTGGAGGCCGGTTGTGTCATTGGCCTGCGATGCAGCGGCCAATGGCAGGCTCAGCAACCACGTGTTCGTGCCCCCTCGGAATCTGATCACGCTGCTCCGCCATCGTCTGATTTGCTTTAGGTGGAGTACACTGCAGTACTTCGATGTGGCCATCTTCGTCTTCGTCTTCGTCTTTTCTCAAATTTGGAGAATCAATCTCTCCGCGACCCCTTTGGATGCATGAATCTCGTGACGAGCATGTCCGATCCAGTTCCGGTTCCCTTCTCTTCTCTTCTCTTCTCTTCTCTTCTCTCCACTTCTCTCCTCTTCTCGTCTCCTCTGCTGCTGCAATCGACGGGGTCTTTACCGCTATCATGATCTGACCTTTGGTCTGTCGATGAGCTTATTATCCTCCTGCATAACCTTGGCCTGGTCCTGGTGGTGACAAAACTTGGATTTTACTCAAGTGTTTAGACTTTTGTGGCCGAAGGAACATCACTCACTAGCCAACATGTATATCGGTTGTTGTGCTTTTTCATTCACGTGTGTTGGAGGCAGGCAGTCGAGCATGCTAAGCTGAGACAAGTGGAATCGGAAAGGCTGGGCACTTGGAACTCGAGTTGCCCTTGCTCGCCACCGAATTTTGTCGTGAACAGCATGAATTTTGGACACAGTGAAAACCTCAGCGAACGTCCTGACGGGAAACACAATCTACTCATCACACAACCATTCCAACAGTCAAAGCCTCTCAGCAGGAGCTGGAAGAGAGTCTCGTATGTGCCTGTGGTCGGATCGAGTCTGTGATTTGCAGTACCAGGTAGAAATAACTACATGCAGCATTAAATGATTCCCTGGTAAATGCGGGCTTTTGTGTTCCAAAATACGCCGAGTCGACGACTCTTATTGATCATTGTGCACTGGTTAAAAGATTACTCCCAGATTATTTTCTACCTTCTTTGGACAGTGCAGTGTTGTACAGAAGCGATCATGGTCAGTTGGACGTATTGTTGAATGTCGCAGATTCTCATAGTGTAGTTTCACCAGCCTGAGTTTCCTCCTGCTGAATAAGAGTGTGCGGATTCAGTGACTCAAGCAACCCATGCTGTTCCTACGAGTCGGCAGCTCTGCCTTCCGTCTGCGCTATAGTCTTTCGCTATCAGCGTCCATATCGTTCTTCCTTCGCCTCTGCCTTGCTTGCCCTGACAATAAAAACTATTCCTTCGGTTAACCTCGTGGATTCTCTGAAGAGCTGCTAGCTGCAGGTGACGCATTCATGCTCATTGTCCCATTCAAAATTTCGTTATTCGTAGATTGTCTCGATGATTTTTCGAGGGTGGGCACTCACTCGATGCTTTTTGTTGGGTCAGACCGTTACGTGTTGACGAAGGTTTTGTTGAACTTCATGCATATACATCTGTGAAGAATCAGGCCGATGGTAACGGCCTATTCCTTGCATGGCAACAACGATCGCCTTGCAGAATTGTTCTATTTCCTTCATCACTTTTGACTACGTCTACGGTTCTTCCTTCGATCTCTGACTTGTGAACTTTTAGAATGTTCCCTGGTATTAATTTTCTTCACTTATTACACGCTTGGGGCGTTGTATTTGCTTTTCCTCTAGCTTCCGATCGATGCACGGCAGTCGTCCTATTGAAGGTGATGTATGGCTTCTTTTATACTTGAGTTGATCCAAGATTCTGCTTGGTGAGGTCCAAATAGTTGGAAAGATCATACCCTACGAAATATCAAGGGCGGCATCGCACTCCACGAATGTCACCAGGTGTCAGTAGAAAATCTCAAAATGCGTTGTTGAGATTTCTTTGACTAGTGAGTGGTATGATGACCTGACTGACTAGAAGACCTTCTTCAGCTCTGAGCGGTCACAGACTCAGTGAAAGTACATGTTACATGTACCTATCGAGATATCGCATCGTTTTAACTGTCACGATCGAACAGATCCTGCATTAGCAGTGTCGCCATCTGCCGTCGTGTGGGTTCAGATCACTGGCCTGAGGTGAATGCTCCGAGAACCCGAGGATCGGCATACCAACCAACCATCCAGACAACGTAACGAGGAGTTTCTTTGAGAGACGTCACTCCAAAAGAAAGTGCTATGTATTCTTTTGTTTTCATTTATTTATTTCTATACTTTTTATTTAGCGTAATCAAGGGAAAAATCCTAAACTTGCATATCCATGATCAACTTTACTTTTTTCTTTGTAATCAGGAAGGTACATAAGAAACCTATAAAATTTAATACACTTTATTACTTAAATGCTGAAGATATTTTTGGTGAACCGTGAGATTTCCCTTAAGTTTACACTGGAAATTTGTTCCATACGGATGATCATGAGAGTCCTTTTGCATCACGCTAGCATCTCATGATATAAATCGTAAAAGGTTGTTATCTAGAGCCGCGTACTATGATGCTTCGATAAGTCGTCCAAACACTTTGGAAAGTTCCCACTAAATTAAATTCTATTTTGAACTCTATGCATCGTCATTTACATACTGCTAGTAGTCGGATGCGAACGCTCAGGATGTTTTCTCTTATTTCCTGTACAATCATTCGTCCATAGTTACCGCTAAAACTCAGACTGAGTGAGACTAGCGTCAGTACTTTCAACTCCGGCGCCCTTAGAAGCAAGCACTACTGGTCCGAACACCATGCTGGGGCTGCAAAACAGTACATAGTCACCCTTCAATGTATAAAATCGGTGTTCGTAAATTGGATGTCGATTCTAGAGCTTTAAGAATGATCGTGCCTGAACCATACAGAATGATGACATACAGAATCGAATGGAACCCATGATAGCTAATTGCATAATCTACTGCAGGATTAAAATGTTTATGGCAGGAGAAGACCGTCTGCAAAAAATTGTTTTGCGGAGGATCGGCAGCAAAAGATCTGATCTAGATTTCAAGCATTCTCGTGCATTTATCAGATGAATTCACGCCGTTGGAACGAAGTTCAGTCTTCAGACCCGAAATCAAAGCAGGGCTTGGATGGATATACATGATCTGTGATGTGAGGTCCGAAAGCTTCACACAACCGCATGCTATGAAGCGAGTCAATATGAAGCTATGCAAATTTCCTACACTGATAAACCTTGATTAACTCTGAAGAAAAATCGACACTCGATGTGAACGCTGACCTTGGGCTCATCTCGACGAAGGAAGCAGTTTCATTCTCCTTGCAGGAAGAGCTGTTATCGACGTTTCCACACAGAAGCAAGTGTCAGAGAAGAGAAGAGATTAGAATGAATATCATGCATGACTGCAGCGTGAAAAGGATTTGAGAGCGTTTTCAGTGCTTCCGCTGATCTAACGCATATTTCTGAAACACCATTAGGACAACTCACTCGCAGTTTCCCCCATTTGTGGCCTTCTTCTCGCAGTCACAGCTCGACATGGTGCGAGGGTTGGCTTTCAACCGGAGTTGGATGTCAAAAATCGAGCAAGAGTGGACAGAACCGGTTGCTTGAATTCAACACGATTGTGCAAGCCGAACATGAAACCCATTTATGCATTAGAGAACCATGGAAAGCTTGGATTCCCTACAATCAGACCGCCATGCCTTTAGTCATTGTGGGGGCCCGCCTGCTTTCCTTCAGAATCTGTCCTTTATGAAAAATATAAACTTATCTCGATGGCCGGTCTTATGATATTTGGTTTAGAATTTTGTCTCCTGCGCATTTCAAGATGCTTCACCACGACATTGACTTGAATTACAAAATCCAGATGCTCTTCATTCCAAGCAAGATCTCGTTTACTCCAGAAAGTCTACCTACATCAACGTAATCCTGCCCGCGATGGCATCGTGTGCGATTAGTGTTGGGGTGCAGACGACCTTAAGCTGTGTTTTACACTAGAGGTTTGGGGGTGGGAGCCCCTAGACCTTTAATCTTGTTTACTCCTTAAAAGATCACTTTCACAGCGAAGAATGCATTCTCTTCTAACGCTATAGAAACAAACTCCCCACTATGATTGGTGGGGAGTTTGTTTCGATAGCCGTTAGGGGAGAAACAACGCTGGTGCTGACGGTGTCGACCTCGATCGTAGAACGAAGGGATTCAGACTTTAAATTGGGAGAGGTAGTGTCGAGATGGCAGGGGGGCCATTGTAAGGTTGGCATTTTAGGGTAATTGTAGCCGTTTCAGGGTTGGCGTTCTAGGGTTGACAGAGCCGTCTTAGGGTGCGCGCTTTAGGATTATCGTAGCCGTTTTAGGGTTGGTGTTCTAGGGCTACCGTAGCCGGCTTAGGGTGAGCGTTCTATAAACTTGCCCAGTGAAACAGAATAGGGGTTTCCCCCACAACACTCTTGATTGTGTTCCCCTTGAGCATGAGCATACCGCAATACAGAAAGGGCCGTATCTTTGTAGCGAGTTGTTTCAAATCAGTTTAGACTAAAGAATAAACATTGGTACATGGAGACAAATTTGGCGGAACACACTGCGGGCATTACATATTTCTCAGTTAGTTTCGAGACATTTGACGTTCGACTTCATGGAAGAGAACGTAGAAACGAGTTCACAAGGATCACCTTCGCCAAGCTAGCAATCACAGGGTTTCGGCTTCTACTTCAAATTATCCGGACGACTATTCTACCCTCCGCCGCTGTTGAAAACTATGACATGATTGATTTCCGACCTTCACAAGCTAGAAACATTTTGATTTTGTCAAAATACTCAAACTATCTGAATGTCAGTCGGGGTTATCCGTTCATGGCTTAGGGCAGTTTAAACCAAAGTTCACAAACGGGGAAAAAAAGTAAAGGAATCATTGAGATGCACGTAGTTTTGGCAGCTTTTGCTGTGGATACCTTCTCCACGAGTTAATTCTTCATTCTTGCAAGTGGTTACCACGACGAAGACATAACATGTCCGTAACGAAGTACATCACAGAGACTAAGTTGGAAGAGAACAATTTCCTCGAGGATATATAGACTAATATTCATATTATATTTATATTTATAAATATACTCTCCCAACTACACTGAACACCGTCAATGGCTACCCAGAACGTGTTCCCAAGGTTATAGCCACCTCCTTGACAATCTTCTTCATAAACCATGTCAGGAATCACTCATCCTTCCCTTCTAGCAGATTTACAAAGTGATGGGAAAAGGTAGTCCCAAAAAGTCCTCTCGGTTTTGAACCAAGATGTTGCTTTGATCGCTAGGCAGACACAGAAACGCAGAGTAGGAGTCAATCCCCCATTCCCCATAGGCAAAAAAAGGATATGCACATGTCTGTTAGAGAGCTTAGCTTGCAATTTCATGAGAAATTGGACTATCGAGTCAGTAGTAGACACGGTGATCACAATCTCTCTACTGCCAACCAAAATTGATTGTACTCTTAGCGTACTGATTTGCATGCCGTAGCCATTCGACCATTGAACCCGCGCCCTGAAAGGTTGGACCATGCTAGAAAACTGACAACAAAGAGAACAACAGGAGCAAGTACAGGAATGAATCAGCATGTACAGATGGACTTCCTCAAAATTCGGTAAAATCATTCTGCTTGGGGTGGGTACAAACTCGAGAACGTTCTTACTTTTGAAACTCTGGACAACTTGAAATATAAAGATGTAGACTACGTAAGGATGAAAGTATGTACAAGAAATAGCAGCTGCTGGTTGTTGGCTGGCTAGACAAAACATCTTCCTCTCCTTACATCTGCAAATCAATCATCAGAATTGAACTCCTACTCGTACATATGCATACAAGGGTAACTCAAACGCTCAAGAAGAACGTCAATATTCACGATCATCAACATGAGTTTTAAACTATGATTCCACGGAATAGCAAAAAGCAAATAAAGTAAAGATGTATGACAGTAGTATTTAGTGCATGCCAATTGCCTTGTCACTGAGTAGCAGCATCATATCGTCATCCACTTTTTCCTCACCGTCAAAATGCCCCCCATTGACCATAACGTCTCCTTCTTCCAGCACCTCGATATCAGACGCTATTGTATTCATGAGCATCTGTTGTTCAACAGCCATCAACAAATGAAACACTTCTTCCTACAGACGCTCAAATTGCCAGTTTTTTTTGGTTTTCGGTCCACGATCCAAATATAGTTCGCAAATCTACAACAATACAAAAAATTCGAAGCTATGCAGGGAAAATCATTTCTTTGATGTGGCATCCGAGGATTTAGTCAAGGGTTCGCAAGTATATCCAGTGCAGGTTCTAACCTTCAGCTCTTTCTCGTGTCGGCTCAACCGCTCCGAGCTATCCTTCGCTTGTAATATTACTCTTTGCATCTGCCAAGCTCAAAATATGTCATTCACTTGTGCACGGTGTGTCCGACTTTAGGAGCATGCCTAGCTGCAACAAAAATGCTATTTGTGTGTTAATAATTAAGGTTAGGCGCTTTTAGAGGAAACAAAGATAGAGGCGAGAGAAAACGCATCTCAGAGAGATTATGAGTAGACTTGCACTCTTTGATCGATTCATAGTAGACTGGTGAGGCTCCTGTGGTTTTCCTTGCGTTTGAGGTTTTCCTTGTATATCTTGTAACTCGTATTTTTCCTTCCGGTTGTTTTATTACATATATGATTGTTCGTTTGGTGATCTGTTGAGGTTTACCACGTATATCTTGTAACTCGTTTTTTTTTCCGGTTTTTTTATTATGTATTTGAATGTTGTTTGTTTGGTGATCTGTTGTTCCCAAGATCCGCAGGGTTAAGAAAATATTAACAATTGATATCAGAGTAGTTGGGAAAAACCACGGTAGCCGCACCAATCCACTATGAACCGATCAAAGAGTACAAGACTTTTCGCAATCTCTGAGATGCGTTTTCTTGCTACTCTCTCTCTGTTTTCTTTGAAAGCGTTTAACGTCAATTATTAACACACGGAGGTCCCTCAAATTAGCATTTTCTCCGCAGTTTAATACACTCCTAAAGTTGCACACACGAACTGACGGACACGCGTGTCACTGGGAGCTCCTGCTGCTGTAGGTTGTCTGCATCCCAACAATTAGTTTTAAGTGCTTAGCTTAGACGGCCTGAAGCTTGCTGGGGATTCTTTGATACTGAATCGCTAACCACCTACCGTCTTGCATTTGCCATTGAAGACTTTGTAATCAAACTCTCTTACGTATTTCCACAAGTGCATGAACTCTCCATGTCGAATCCAGCTTCCAGTAAGATCTCAAAAGAACTTGTTGACTAGCACAGAAAACTTTCATCCAATCCACATTGGGCCAAAGTTTAGCTGGTGTAAAATCAGCCAGACGAAGGGATGGGACGTTACAGAAATCATATCCAGAATGAGTCTAGCCTCCAGGTTCTTCACATATACGTCAATGCTACCGCTTGAGTTTCCTGCAAGTTTCGTCGAACCCACTGCAGGCACACAGAATCGACAGAAAAGGGGTGTCCAAATCTGATTTTGTACTCATCCGGAAGACCCGAAAACACTATCCGAGACTCCAGCACGTCCGGGAGGTTCCAACCGTATTTTCCCCTTGACTCCAGGTGGATATTCTGTGCAGTCTGCGGACCCAACGTTTCCGTACACTTCCGAAGCAGTGACTTTGTGGGAAAAAGCTCAGAAGTGCTCCGCAATGTTCCATTTTGCATTCTCCCAGAGGCTGCCGGATAGCGATGGACCGCAGTTACTGAGACGTTGCCCCATCTTGGGTTGCTGCTCTCAATCCTCCGGTTTGCAGTTCACATACAATTCCACTATCAGGTACGACCTTCTTGCAGCGAATCGCACCTTGGACTTGTCGTCAATCATCGATATTCTTTTCACAAAACCCAAATGTTAAACGTCTTTTGTCTGGAAATAGCAATTTCTCTTACAGGAAACCTCATCACTTTGCCCATAGTGTTAGAACTATGGAGAAAATCACGATTATCCTCACAAAATATATCGTATAGATTATTTATATATCCTTATTTACCTACCGTGCGGGTGCATCACACTGATCAGTTATTTGATTATCTGGAAACAAAGAGAGAGAGAGAGATACATTTCCCGAGAAGATGAAGTTCAAGTCTGGTACGAAAGGATAAGGGACAGAGCGGAGAAGCAATCGACTGGGCCTCATACCGGACGCAATGTTCAGGCTCGAAGCGATTGCTTTTTCTCAAGCTAATAATCTTCGAACGATAGAAGTGCGGAAACAGCAGCACTAGGGGGAAATTTGGGGGACTTTGTGGACATAGAACTGAGTCTCCCGATGCAGTCAGTGGTGGGACCTCAGCTGAGACGGAGGACAAGTGTATTCCCCTCTCCCTTTCGTGCTGACTGATGCACCGAAGAGGTGCCCGACAGTCCTGTGCCTCAGGCTTAAACGGTTTTCTGTCCATTCCTTTGAACTATTTTAACCTCTGTAGACTAAGATTCACCGCAAACCAACCACAGAGGGCGACGTAAAGGCGAAGGAGGCCTCAGCCTGTGCAGCGATTCGAGCTCTCACATAGTCTGTGTCGAACCCGGGACTCAGTGCCAGGCCCTCTAGATGAAAACGCTAGATACTTCCCAAACTTCGTGCCAATCGTTTGTGGCTCAGCAAGAAAACGCTAAATTGGAAGGTTGGCAATAGACCACGAAGACCGAGAGGACACTACATCGAGCCAGGAACCTTCCTTTGCGGACACTTTTGAGCCCTCACTCAATCAACCACCGCTTCCTCGGTCCTCGTAGTCGACTGACATGTTTCACCTCGCGGCGGCGAACTCATCTGACTTCATCCAAGATTCCAGATCTGCAGGACCACCCTTTGTCCAGGATTGTTGCACGTACTTCCAATTTTCGCATGGGGGCGATTCGCTCATGACTAGATCTGTTGACCTGGAACCTACTTCAATTCCACCAGTTTGACTCCGTCGAATGTATTGGTCGAGTGAAAGACACATATCGTTGTCATGGGTGCAATCAGGCTCGAGAAATTTGCTTGCAAGCTTTCCGAAATTCGTTTCTGAACATTGACTTGACTTAACATTGACACGAATATGACGTTATTTCCTGGACCCTTCGGTACCGTACGGCATTGTGATATCAATCATCGAGATGGCCTATAAATTCCAATGAATATTTTTTTTAGTTTTATATTATTTCTAAGTTTGTTTTCGCAACATAGAGTTTACTCTGCAGTTTTGTGTATATATCTATATCTTATTAAACGCCCCCTTCTTAAACACAAATTCGTTCACATGACTCCTTGTACAAGTGTGTTTAAAATCCCATGTTGCTATCAAGAATCTGGTGCTTGTTGTTGAGCATGAATTATAAAATAGAATTCCGTCCTAGCAGCATTAAGTAGGATTGAGCTTAAGTATGTATTGCATTCTACTAGAATGAGAACATCTTCATTCTTGGTATTACAATATCATGTGATTTGGAGAATGTATTATCATTATTGATTTTACACATGTCACATTTTTGCAATAAATAAAATGAAAGCATTCTGAATATGCTGGCATCACAAAAAGTCATCAAAGAAACATTTTTTTAATAATAACTATAATAACACATGAACACACCAACAATTTGATAAACCGCTAATGTGTAACACATAGCTTTTTCCGTCTTCTTACAAATTAATCTTTTCTAACTGACTAAATTACTCAATTTATAGATCAATTCTTCACAAATTTCAAACTCTATGTTCATAAATACAACACGATAGTGAAAAATAGAGATGAAAATATTTCAATATAATGGCAGGCGTATAGATATAAGAAAAATCTATAAGCTTTATATTTAGTATATGTTGGCTTTGAGATATATGTTGACATATATTTACTCAAGGAAATGGCTAGTTATACCTCACTTTAGGCTAATCATCCCTCACCCTAGTATACAGTCTACCAAGATTGGTCCAAGGTTATAGATGACATTGGATTTAGTTTATGGCTCTTCTAACATAGCTGGACTAGTCAAACTACGGTGACCGACTGCCTACGGTTGCCGCTAGCCTGAATGTGGATCGCTGCAATGTGATGGGCTATGTGTGAGCTAACGGAGTTAAGGAGAGAGGGGCGAAGTAGGAAGGAAGGAACAGGTTTGAGGCCTTCGGTACTTATCGAGACGAGTCCTCTACTTGGTAGATAAAGGTTGACCAAGGATCCAGCGAGAGCCAAACCTTCGACCGGAGAGCTTGTCGATTGATTCACTCGCTCATTCACTTAGCTGCAGTAGCCAGCAGGAAGGGCAAACATTTTCTTCGCGGTTACATATTCCGGAACTTATCACATGGCGCACATATGGAGCTTTCTGAAGGCGTCACTGCGATTGGAACGAGCGACCTATGCGCCTGCTCCATGATCTGAGCTTAATATTATTTGAAACCAAACTGTGCACAACAATTCAGTCAGTCATAACCTTATTACTCCTTCCTACTTCGCTCCTCTCCCTCCCTCCCTCCTCAACTACGTTGGCTCACGCATCCATCCATCACCTCGTCCTAGTGCCGTGAGTCCAACCCACCACATTGTCAGGATCCACATTGAGGCCAACGGCAGCCGCAGCAGGAGGCATTCAATCAAATCAGATCAGCAGGAGTACGAGTCGAGCCCGGTTGAACTGCTGCAAGGGCTTGAAGTGCCAGCGGGTTGCGGGCAGTCCATAGCAGCGGAGTACGATGACCACTTTAGTTTGTTTGCGAGGAGTCTAGCCATGTTAGAAGACCCATAAACTAAATCCACTGACACCTATAACCTTGGATCAATCATGGTCGATCGTATATTAGGGTGAGGGATGACTAGCCCAAAGTGGGGGAAAACTAGCACTCCCTTACTGAATCATAATAAAATAATTTAATTTAATTTAATTTTTTTCAACACATTTATGTCAAATTTGAGTTGTATATTTTTAACACATAACAATATCTAAAAATTCATACTTCTAACTATTAGAATATTTTGAGTTTTTATTATGACATAAAAAATTAAGATATAAACAAATAATAAAAAATGGTTTTTATAATTAATTTTATCTTTTGTAAATTTGTAATCATAGTATTGATGATGTATCATACATTTTAAAATTTAAATTTTCATACATTAGAATAAACATATATTTAATATTTGAAATTAATTAAGGTATTGAAAAAATAGAAAAAAATTTACCTAGTATTATTCAGGATTTTTATGTTTTGATTCAAAAATATTATATTATATATTCCTGTTTATTCTTTATTATTTATTTTTTTATAGTAACATATATTTTATGCTTATTCATTAATTATAATATTCTGATCATAATATCATGATATAAACCGTAAATTGATTATTTATATTAAAAATTATTTTATTATTTGAAAAAATATGTAATTAATAATTTATAAGTAATTAATAAAATCATGAAAAAGATTAGATTTTTTTTCAATTTTAATTTATTATGAGACTGTTTGTTGTAAAGACAAACTTGAATAGCAATTCAAAATGGTAGTTTGAAATAGCTAAGTCCAAGATTCAATTTGATCTAGAAATCTCTGCGTGAGATTATGCAGCATTTTCAAATTGAGAGTGTGAGACTCATAGGAGCCATCTGTAGAAATTTGAAAGGTAAAGAAAGAGCAGTCGAGGACAAGAAGCACCACTTATGATGTTCATGCAATTGGGAGGCGGGGGTGACGCATTACTAGCTATTTAATAAGAACTTTTGACTTCTTTCGTATCAATCTATCGTAACTCATTTCCACTTTGTGTTGAATTCAGTTCTAGGGAGTAGAACATGAAACAAAAGTCTACCGTGTATTTTGATGTCGTATATGATAAACCCATACTCCACTAATATTTTTCCTCGATAATAGAACAATGAAGTTGTGGGTGTTCTTTTACCACACTTTTGATCTTTCCAAAATTCTAACATCTAGTTACTTGTTCAATGTTTTCTTTGCGGCTACCTTGACATTGTATTACATTTGATTTCACAATTTTTAAATTTAATTTTCAAATTTAATTAATGAAACTTTGGATTTTTATGTAACTTAATCATCAATATATTATGAATTAAAAAAATTTATTAATATTTTATATAATTTTATTTGATTTTTAAATTTTTTATTGTTTTTAGTATTTTTTTCACAATTTCATGTACGAGAATCATCAAAATCACACACCAAAAGTCACAAAGTAGAATCATACACTGATGTACGCGGATCACATCCACATGAGATTACGTTCACGGTCCAAATAAAAATTTCATTAAAGCAGGAATGTTACATCAGATCTTTATAACTTAGCTCTCCATTATCTCTCTCGGATGTGTACATGTGACACTACATTGAAACGTCCTCATCCTAGTATTAAGTATATCAAACCCTAACTAGAGGCCACGTCTACAGTCAACATGACGTGAATTAACTTTCATTTCAAAGAAAAATATAAAAATATATCATTTGATTATATTTACTTTATTAAAACATAGAATTAGCTAATTTACATAACAAAGTACATAATATAGAAGTGTATTGTAAATTTTAAATTATTTTAATATAAATGTAAGTAAAAAATTTGAATAGATATATCGCAATCATGATTTTTTTCTTTACATTATGATGATATGTATAACATATGATATCTTGTCATCAATTGAAAATTAAAGTAAAATTACATACAATATATTCGTCATCATATTTTAACTCAATCTACTATTTTTATGCAGCCATTATTAAATTATAATTTAATGAAAAATGATTTTATAAAAATATTTTTTAGTTCTAATAATTTAATTAAAAAATAATTTCAATAATATATTTAAATTGCATCATAATATATTTCATCATTTCAAAAAAAAAAATTTATCATTGTAATTTTTAAATTAAATAATTTTTTATAAACTTATTATTTTATAAGTATTATGTATTCAATTTGATTGTAATACTACTTTTTTAAACTCCATGGAAAGTTTACAATTATCAACCATGTATTTAATTCAAAAAAAAAACAAACAAATAGCATCAACTTTTAACTTAAAACTTTATATATAGATGAAAATTTTTTTCCATAAACAGAGATACATTAGTAAACGAAATTTTTCTCAAAATTATAGATCTTCTTGATCTTAAATCTTGTTTTTTTAAAATTATTTTTTTCTTTATTAAAACAATGTCAACAATTTTTAAGTGCAATTTTTCTTAATTCATCAAATTTTCCATCTCTTCAAGAAAGCCTGTGTCACTTCTTTGCATTAAAAAAGAACACTTTTATGAAAAAAAAATTAATATTCAATGAATGGACTGTTTGAATGTTTTACTCTCACGAACACACAAATTGGCACTAATCTAAAGGTACAACGTATGTGATCAGATTCTCTTGGAATCTGTAGATGTTGTAATACCAGGAGAGAAGACTACTTTTGAAGACGCTAAAGCAACGAGGTAATTGGGGGATGAAATTTCGTTTTGTCCCGCCGAAACTCAGATCACAATGACGGCCATGACCATTTACTGGACCACAAGTGTAAAATGTCTTGTGAACTCTATCCGCTATCGCGATCGTCGCATAAAGTGTAATAACTAGATTCTTCCCTTGTCTTGAATCGGGACAACAACTCATCAGAAGCAACGGTGACTTTCATCATATAATTCAGATTTATAGCCAGGTGCAAGGCCATATAGCGCCTTCAATACTCTGCTTGCTGGAGGACGGACATAGGTTCAACGCAGCAACTTAGAAGTCGCTTTAACAAATAGAGTTGGATTTGACGCACAAAATTATTCTTTTCTATAAAGAGACTGTACTATTTAGAGATCTGATTTTGTCCTGCACGGCCATAGCAACAAGAATCTTTGTGCTGGTTTGGCAAGTGCTAAACTAGCAAGTGGCTTGCAGTCCGCAAAACGCGGTTACAGCTTTTTGGCCACCGTGCTCATTGTCATCCATGAACAACGATCGTCAATACATGGATGGTAATACAGAGACGTTGTTCGGATTCTCAACGTGCATTGTCATCCCACTTTCTCATATACCTACTAACCCAGGACCGATGGTGGTGTCTTGAAAAACAAAAAGCACTAGTTTGTCCCTTGATCAACTTGTGTCGGCGTCGCCCACATACATTAGTTTTAAACATACCTTGATGAAGTGTTCTTGCAGCATGTCGATTGACAAAGTGGATCATTCTCTATCCCAAATTTAGAATTCATTTTTATCTGACTCATTCCGTGCTTGCCGATAACGTCGAAGCATACTAGGACGAAAGGTGTACTGCACATACCTCCCGGTTTAAAGAACTCGTCACTTTCAATCGTCGACCACTTCCAAGCATAATGTTGGGTTCCAAGAATTCGCCCCGATTTTGCCAACTCGATCATTATGAACGTAGCATTTCTTCTCAGGTTGAAACCAATCTGGTTTGTATCATGCCCTTCATTACCCTCTTCCTACTTTCTTTGAACTGACAGGGCCAATGACATCTTCGTGACATTGTCCCTGTCAGTTCAAAGAAAGTAGGTTGTCGCTAGATGTCGCTATGTACCTTGGCAGGCCTTGGCCTCAGATATGGTTTTGCTGATCTATTTCTTTTACCAAATTTTGATGCGATAAGTTGAGTGATGTCTGTACATCTGTGATTGTTTTTCAAAAGTTGCAAGTAGAGTCTTTATCATATGAATCCTCAAACCCTTTGTCCTTAAATTACCCATAGTCCCAAAGTGATCCTTGCGTCAAGGCTTCCATCACCGAAGGAAGAAGGTCTAGAGCCCTAGGAGTTTCCTGGAGGTCCTCCAGCCTGCCCAATAATCCAATTCACGAGTTTAACAAACTCGCAAAAAAAAAAATTTGTTGTTCAACAGTCAAAGCAACTTCGTCACTTTCTGAGGTCTATCCATTTGAGCGTAGATGTATGTGTTCGTCATTTCCTTAATACCTTTACTGCAACAACCATCTTTCGACCACTGTTTACAAATCACAACCTTTGCTCGGTGCTCCTTAGTTGAACGGGAACAGAGTCCAAGTTGATGGAAAAAAAGGTTGGGAAGAGTCAACCAAGCTACTCAATCACAACCTGTGCTCAGGGCTACTTAGTTGAGCAGGGAACGGGGAGGCCAAGTAGATTAAAAAGAAGGATCGAAAGAGCCCATCAAGCTACTTAGTTAACCGGTGCATGTGAACTTACCTCTCTTAGCAAATGCGCTTAGAGTTAAGCGTCTGCAGTTCGTTCGTTAGACAAAGCCGTAGGAAGAAACTCGAAGAAATAACAGTACTCTTTCATGCGCTTTAAATGTACGGCTATTCCTTCAACAAAGGATTTTTCTCTTGCTAATTTGACAGCAACAACTGACAAACTACACATCGATACAAGAGACTCAAAATGATTTCGCGACATTATCATAGTGATACTTCTTCATAATTCAAGGTGACCAGGTTGCTAATCATACATGATAAGTAATACCTCCCGTGGAGGCAATAAGCGTAGAGTTCCAGTTTAACGGGTAACTTCTTGTCTTGCTGTCAGTTTATAGGTCTTCCAACGAGTGCTGACAACGCGCGCAATCTTCTACGCTTGTCTTAGTCCACAGAAGCCGTTCTCACCGAACAAACCGGAGCAAGATTTAATAACAGGAATAAGTAGTGTTAACGAAAGCATGAATGATTACAAACAAAAACTTTTTGTCAACCAGTCAGTTGATCCTTCACTTCTGTTCGCCTCAATGAGAAGAGACAATAGTACTGTTTTCTAGGTCCACCGGCTGCGACTGGGAACAAATGAAGAACCACAACCTTCGAATGCCTGGCCGAATGCCATACATCATTCGCTCCAGCAATACCTGTCCCAACTCAATCAATAGATGTCAACATGAAGAGGTTTTCTCTTGGCCTGAGCTCAACTAATACAAACCAGTAAGTCTAGATTATACTTCCATGACATAGTCATTCAACAGCAGACATTCATTCAATTTGAAAATTCAGACTCCCTTTGGAGAGTACTCTGAAAATATTCAAGATCAACATGCATCCACGTAGCCACACTCGTCAAGCACACATGCGTAAAGCCATCTCTTCTGACTTATATTTACAAGAAGGTGTTTCGATAAAAATCATGCACATAAAGTATCTCTACAGCAACTGAATAACTACATGTAACTCATGATCCCAAACGAGTTGAATTTTACCAAGTTTATATCCACTAAACCACCCATGTATATCCAAAGGTATGATATAAGCTCGTTGTTCAGCTCTGGCGAGTTCGTCGGACTCGTGACACACCTGCAAGAAACACCCAAACAAAGGAATAGACTAAGCACTCAGCCGCTTGCACTCAACTACTCATCCACGCCTTGAAAGACCATTTATGATCTGCGAGATGGTCTTATCTACATCTTACATCTACAAGCTAAACAACCCACATTAAATATTTTTTAAACTTGAACCTGAGGATTCCACTAACTTAACGTAGAAAAAACCGTTTACATTATAGAAGCGTCTTAGATAAAGATTCCTTAACAACCCAGTTATTCAGATCCTCCAGGTTAATAAAAATACAGACAAATTCTTTCAACAGCATTTTGACAGCTAAGAATTTTCAGGCTCATATTACAGTTACAAATAAACTGAAACTACAACTCAGCATAACTGACCACAAAAAGAACTGATTCACTTGGCTCTAGTTCAGATTTGAATCTACAAATTGCTTTCCGCAACACTCCTATAGTTCCTCAAAAGACCTGAATTACAACCTTGATGACGTTCTGAATGAACAAGCTTATAATGATAAGGATGATAAGACACTTCACACATGCAGAAATGTTGTGGGAACTACCTGTGTCTTCAGTCCTGTCAGAAGATCTCCCACTACTTCTTCCCGGAAATGACCGTTGACGCAACAAACCTTTTTCCATCGATGAGAAGCTCTACAAGTTGTCTCTTAAGATGAAAGGCCATCGTATTTTCAGTTGACAGTTTTGGGCTGATCCAAAGACGTTAACGACAAACGAGAAGCCCTGTTAGGATTCAACCAGAATAACAACGTCTATATTCAAGTTAAAAGAAAGAAGTCTATGTTGACAGTCAATCGTTTGCCTGCACCATAATGCACAAGCCAGATAGAGAAACCGTGAGAGAAAGGTTTAAAATACCTTCCCAATACGATAAAGCGCAAAGAGGCACCATCCAGGAGGTGTTGGAACACATCGTCAGAGAGCTTTGGACATTGGTTCATGCTAAGGTACCGCAACCTCGGAGCCTTTTGGCATAGAGCCCGGACACACGGGTTAGAGAGAAGTTTACACCCATCTAACTGTACTTTCATTAGTTGTGAGCAGCCTTCTGCCAATGCGATGACCCCTGCATCTGTAATACGTTCACAATAGCTGAACGACACGAAACGCAGTTGGGGACACCTGAGACAACATCATGATGGGATGATTATGATATGTACGAGTATGCGTACAATAAACAAGTTGAAACAGAATTCCCTCTCGAGAATGGCCTCTTTGTTCAAAGAAGAGAAGGCACAATGCAATGACAAAACGTCTATGGCCAATTTGTTTAAACGAACCCTTTGGCAATCACGTTAAGGCCGACATTCGTGATCCTGTTGCACTCATGAATTGCAAGCCCCTGCATGTGATGGCACATGGAAATGTGCTTCAACGCATTGTCTGTCAGCGGAGCAAAACTAAGTACCTGCGACGCCGATCACGCATCAACCAACAACAAAATTATAAGAATTCGAACGGTGCTCTCGAGCGCATTTCCAACTATGATTGCAATAAATATTCCGAGAGAAAGCGGTAAACACAACTGCGAGGTAAACTTCTCACGAACTCATGTTGAACAACATCTACTAACATTATATAATCCTCTAGTTACACATAATCTATCAACTGGACACTGGCAGGCAACTGGGTGGCGAGTCGAGCCATAACAGCGACTTCGTAAATCAGCTCTTCGCAAATGCACTCGCAACGTACCAAGGTGTCCTCGAGTTTAATATTACCAGAAGGTGTAGTTAGGACCGCTTTGCAAAGATACAACTGAAGAGAGAGACAAACAGGAAGAAAAATACATGCAGAACTTCACACTTCAAGATCATTATTTGATAGAAGTTGAAGCTGCTTACAAGAATTTTGAGGTTCGGATTTCCGGAGCAGATCGTTGAAATTACTGAATCCGAAAACCCTGATGCCGATCCTGCATTGAGTACTTCGAGTGATCCACAGAGCTCCAATGCTCGCAACCCTCTGGATGTCAGCTGTCCATATCAACATAAAAATGCTCAATCAAGCTGAAGGTAATCGATGAAAGGGATTTACATGAGCAGTTAAAGCGAGTTTTAGACTTTCGAATACACAACAATGTCATCGTTAGCAACAGCTTGATAAATCTCGACTTAAAGCACAAGAATACTTCCAACTATTCTTCAGAACTTTTTGGAAGGAGAGCATACCAATCGACAACCCTTCACACGCACGGTACGGATCCCTTTGCAATGTTCCGAGAGGAGTTCAAGAGTTGCATCGGTAATTGAGCTGTAACTGAAATCCACCTCCACTAACCTTGGGCATCTCTGTTGCACCGTTATTAATACATAAGTATATACACAACTTCCCACAGTGATAATCTGACATCATATTTCGATTTACAGGCAGTATCTTCTTGCTTGAAACATCAAGAATCTATTAGACAACCTGAATAAGCTCATACGCTGGTGGGTCGCTCAGCCGCTTGAAATTAATCAACTCCACGTGAGTAAGCTTGCCGCAAAGACTCGCCACTGCCAGGTCCATTCAACCATCAGTTCTTACTTAGTATTAGCCGATGACGCTGCATGAAGCTGGATGCCTACATTAACTTTCCAAGTACAACAGATTGCAACAATGCATGCGTGTATCGCATTGGACCGACAGCAATCACACGAGTAACTGCATCCAGTGTACTATCAAAGGGCAGGCTTCAATTGCATGAAGTATTCCTACATTCCATCACGGCAACTTCCGAGCATAGCTCAGCAACTTCAGGGCGGGCCAGCTTCAGTTTCAATTTCCGCAATGTGGCTGCTCTTTCAGCCAACACGAGCAATCCCGTGTCCGTCAGAAAATTCTACAAATCACAAAATATGTGAGCATTCGTGGATTTCAGCTTACACGTCAACCGGCGGCCTACACCACACTGGCAAGGCTGAAGTTCTCTTATGAAGTCATCATCAGGAGTCGACAGGAAAATGATCTCTGAACTTTCTCACTTATTTCTCCAGTTTGCGGGTAGTCGATAAGAGTGAATTTCCTTCAATGCCTTCTAAATGCTTCTGAAGGCGTACCTCCACTCCAGTAGGCAGAAAACATTCGTCGACAAGATTGAGTTCTTCAAGACTTGGGCACATCAGCGTTATCGTAACTAAGGATGCATCGGTTATCCCCATTGATGAACCCAGAGTCCTTTTGTGTCGCAATTTCTTCAGCTGAGTTCCACGTTGCTTGATGTAGGAAAAGGTTTCCTGCAAAATATACACATTGGTCATAATTTACTGTAATGGCCAAAGATTTTGCGGCAAAACGATAAAAGTTTGATTAAAATGCTGACTATTAACGAATTTAACCGATGTTTAGTCCACGCACATAACAAAGTGTTCTGTCACAAATGTACCACATTCAGGGTTTTCTTGAAACAATATGCACATATCAACGCGGAAAGAAAAACGAGGAGAAACTTGAACGTTGATTTCTTCGACCTCATACAGCGGAAGATGGAACAATTCTCAACCACATCGTGAAGTATACATTTCTTCACAGAGACATCACTACTTGAGTGGACAGCACTCAAGCAAATTTTTGAAAGGAATTACAACCACCCTGAATTCTGGGAGAACTCACCATGGTTAAATCGAAGGCACTCAAATCATTCACAAAAGGACACAAATCTGCCATAGCACGAACAACTACGTTGACGTCGATGTTTTGAATCAGGCTGTCAATCCTGAAAGATGTCAGATTCCTGCTATGTCCAAGAACACACAAAGTGCCCTCGGTCAGATCTTTTCACATAAAAAGACATGGAATCTTATCTCACGTTTGATATACCAAAGTTTGTATCGCAATAATGCCTCACGGCTCTATATGTTCTATCTAATAGGCTCTGTGAGAACTAGAGCGCAGCCTGCAGAAACGAATCTTGAATCTTGAATCTTCAGCTGACATCTATAGATTTGAGATATTAGAGATGCTTACGGTGAGTTGAATAAAAGCCGCTCGAAGGCACCTGCTGATGGAGTACATCCAAAGCCTGACCAGGCGAAGCGACGTAGACTCCCACGAGTGCTATCAATGACATTGCTGATGATTCTACTGGTATGAAGATCACATCCACAGAGAGCAAGTTCTTCGAGCCCTTTGGGCAGATTTTTGAGTGAGTCCTCGGAGAGATGCCAACAATCCTGTGCCAGAAAATCGACCCGGAGGAAATATTCAGAGTCGAAGAAACGGGAAATACACATCAAACATTTCAACGCAGCCCAATGAACGTCCAAAAATTAACTAGAAAATTAATCGTCGAGACAAAACTTCACAATCTTTCGTGAATCAAGGGTGAAGACTCCTCTCCTAGTCGAAAAGGAATGTACCACATCTAGGCTTTTTAGATTTGGCCCTAGTTTCTTGGACAATTTGGAGAATGTAAAATCATCCAAATTAGCTCCCACGTTTTTCAGATCCAAATGAGTAAGCGTTCCTATCACTCTGCACAAGTTAACATTAGCTATCAGCGATCAGAAAACTGGAGCTAAATTACGAGATTTCCTCGTATTCCAGATACTCGACGACTGAAAAGGAAACGAGGAAAAGAAACAAAATTTCGGCGTGAAATAAGATGACATCGAGCATTTGTCAGTCCTGCAAAATTACTCAATAAATGAAGTGAATCTGACGTCTCCCGACGTCCACTATCGATTTCGGTATATACCGAGTATCCAATATCGTCGTAGCCGACAGAAACAATAATGAGTGAATTTGGAGGTACATATGCACAATGTGAAACTCGCGAAACTTATACCTATAACTATTCCGAACATTGGAAATATTGAACAACAGAGATGGCATAACCAGCACATCCGGGTTCTCTTCATTGCAGAACTGGAAAGTAAGATGTCCGGCAAGAATATTCACCTGTCGCAGGCATCACTGAGAGCTTTACATGCTTGAGCAGCTCTAGTTAAGTCATGAGTACGTATCAAGCTCAGGATCCGAGTCAAAATCTGCAGTCCGACCACCATTGATGAAAGAATAATCGTATCATGCTCGTGAACACAGTAGTTTCAATTCTTGATGATTCCATCCTGCTCGCTGGCTTTCTTGTTAATAATCACTAATTACGCACAATACTCGCCAAGTTTCAGATACTCAGCTTTACTCAGCAAGATGACTGCAGAGAATTTTCAAACCTTACGTCTTTTGAAGTGAATTAGAATATTATCCACTAGAAAGAGCAGAATGTTTAAGTCTTGCATCCTCCACCGTCCACGATGAGGAAACAAAGCATGCGTGGTGTACCTCGATTGGCAGTAATTCAAGAGACGCGCTCACACCTATACCAGGTCCATGAGAGTTCACAGCTGGGCCCATTGTCCAAACTTTGCTGGGGCGGTTGAATTGCCCACATGTACTCAATTTGGAATGACACTCAGGGTCACAACCCTGAGAGCGGGAACTGAGACGAGAACAATCCACCGTGGAGAAAAGACCCTACATGGTGGGCCAAGAACACGTTGCAAGTTATGAGGGATAGCTAATCAGATCAAATTGTTACCCATTCCGACCTACACACTTCGCAAAACAGGCCATGGGGATGAGCTGCCCTTACAGACCAGAGAAACTACACTGCGGTTGGCAGGCGCAGACGAAAAACGACCAATTTTACTGTCAACGTTCGGATGGCATGTGTCGTCTTTCAGTTGGACAAAACATCCTCGAGTTAGCTTCACAAAATTGCCAATTGCACGACACTAAGACTGCTGTACTGACTTCAAGGATACCAATGTTGGAACAGAACGACCTTCCAATGGGCTAGTGCTGGACACCGCTATTCAAAGATGGTCCGAACTTTGTCAACATTTGTCTATTCTTCATAAGTAAAACACACCTGTCATGAACGCCCTCCGAGAGCGCAAATAGCGACACCCAGACAGGAGACACATCAGCTTTTGGTGGGCGTCGTCGTTGAACAGAAATGGAAATGGCGAGCGAGCCTTCACCGTGTGACAAGTCTCAGTTATTTTCAGAGTAAATCAAAGAAGGTCAATGGAGACCACTACGAACTCCGACTCGAAACTCCATCCCATTTCAGTGGATCTTCCTGTGATTCTTTCTCCACAGGCGGGGCGGGTCGCAGGGTGACACGGCGGCAGTACTTATCTCCCCACCACCCCGGACATTGGAGCTCCTTTTCGCAAATTTCCTCCTCCCCTTACTCGGCTGCCGCAAACAGCGCCACGATTGTCTCGCTTTCGATACGTCAATTGCGGGTTGGTCGACATAGTCTTATTACGAACAATGGCGGTGCCTTCGATACGAAGTGGGGAAATCGGAGACGTGGAATACAGACCAAGATACAGTAGATACATTCAAAGTACACCCTCTCGAACATGTGACAGGTCTAGTACCAAAAGTAGACACTTCGGGGTTACTCATAGGCTCCATTTGGAGTAATGTGCAAGCGAAAACAAAAGACTCACTCCACGGGATTTGAGGAGATAGACAGAGAACATAATTTCCATTATCTGGCCAGATGCACTCTACATCTAAAAGCATGTATCACACCACCCAGTCAATAATCTCGTTCTCTAGAGTTGACAGTGGACATTGTGAATGTGTATTATGGACCAAACATATAGCATAATTACAATATCTTGTTGTCTGCAACATTCTATTGTAAGAAACTATTATTCATTGACATGTTTCATTCGATAAATCATCATTTTCATGTCAATTCACTGAACGGAGTGATGAATTTTTTACATATGGTTATCTTGCTTACAGTCATTTAGAGATGATATCAAATATGTCACGATCGACATGTAAATTTAGAGATAAACTTCAATAAATTATAATTAATGAGATTCAATATATTCACAAAAAACATTACGAACATAATCAATCTTATAATCTGGATATTTTGGTTATTATATATGGTCATAAACTAGATCTCAATATTGACAAGTTATATTATCAACTGATTTGATGCCAATCTTGAGGAATTCGAGAATGTCAATGTAATGCTACAGTATTTGGATACTGTGAAAAAAGGAATGGATGACACTCTGAGAAACTTGGGTTTCCTGAATATCATAAAAAATATCATAAAATTATATGCTTGTTATAATAACTTTGTATTTGATTGGTGTGATTTGCAAATGATGTGGTTATATATTTTTGTTTCAAATTTCTAACTTGAAAATGACGGTAAGAGCATCATTTATCAATTCACCATTATCGTAAATGTAGACAATTATGTAAAAGGATTAGGTTATATATTTAAATATTATTGATATTTATAATAATTTCGTATTAAATGTACCACGTATTTCATATCAACAATATTTTCCTTGAATGTAAGAAATCAAATAAAATAAAATTTAGTGTTCGATGTCAACTATCCAAAGCAAACTATATGTAGATCCTTATATTTTTTCAATTCAAATAAAATTGTCATTTAAATTGTTGAAATTCATGAAGGTTCAATTAGAAATCATAGACACGTTTAGAAAAAAAATTTAATTGTGTAATATAATCATAATTAATGTATCAAAGTTTATTCACATAATTCTCGATTAAAAAGTTTCTATATATTCAAATATTTGTTGGAAATAAACTTAATTTCATTTATCATAAAATTTCAGTATTTTTAATGGCTAAGAAAAAATATTAAAAAATTAAGAGTATACCTCAAATGTGGAATTTAAGATAGATAAATCAGAAAATATTTTAAATTTCAAAAATTTGATTGAAATTAAATTAAAGCTGAGTATTAATTTTTTATCTTTAATTCAGTGTGAATTTTATATAGTAAAAAATAACTGGTAATACAAATAAACTATTAAAAAAATATAATTAAATCATTAATATAACAATAATGAAAATAATCGATATAAAAATAATTTTTGAATTGTTTTTCCCAATTTGTCAAAATATTTGTACTTAGCATAATTACCTTTGACTCATAGGTGATTATGCTAAGAAGCTCATAGGCTATGAGCTTTAAAACTAATATTTCGCTGTTTTTTCCAGTGATAAAAAGTTATATTATAAAGCTTATATCATTCTTATATATATACACACTATTAGAAGATAATATTTGTAAAAACATTAACATTTATATCAACTACATATATGTATAAATCATAAAAAAAATCCTCATTATAAGCTTTTAAACTCCGGAATTCAGGTGTATATATATATATATATATATATATGAATCTTTGAATTGATATTTGAATTATTCATGAGATTAGCTATAGCTAACATGATATTGACATTTTAATAAAGCATCTAAAGTATTTTGATGGTTTTTAAAATATTTTTTACATATTCTTCTTTTAATGCTTATGTAGATCCCTGTGTTGTTTAATTGTGATTGATATCATAGATATGAAATTTGATTTACAAAAAAATTAACACACAATTTATATATGTCGAGCAAAATGCATATATCGTAAACTTGTTTCATAATGATTAAATTAATCAATCTCGTTTTCTTACATGAAAAGAATGTTTTTTATTTTTAAATTTAAAATCAATATTCTTATATGTAATGTAATTACTGGTTGTATATTTTGAAAAATGGTTCTTAGCTATATTTATGCATCCGAAATTTCAATTCTGTACATAAGTGATAACGTCTACCCAAACAAATCTATTTTACCATAGCTATATATGTAATAATTATTAAAATCATTTGAATTAACATATATACAAAAAAGGTTCGATCATTTTTATTACACTAAGTACCATGATATACCATAAAAAATTTATACATGACTAAGCATTGAAACAAAACTGAATGAATTTTCTGGCAATTTTCATTAAAATAGTAGTATTTGAATTCAAGAAAATTTGAAGTCAGTTAAATTGTACTCTTTCTTATGGTACAATGCTATATACAACCTATCATACCACAAACATACTATATTAGAATAACAAAACGTTCTGACTTTTTACTTGCATAAATCATAGCAAGAAATGTTCATAAGTAAAATCAATTATCAATACCGTCCATATATATATATTCTTATGAACATTTCATTCTTTGATTTATGCAAGAAAAAATTCTGACAATTTTTTATTCTATTAATAAAATATGAATAAGAAAAATTAAATTACATGTTTAAAAATTGTGAAGTAATCTATCCTAAATTTGATCAATCTTATGTTAAATTTAAACATACTTTTATAACATTCAACTTGTTAAATTTCAATGTCTTAAGTTTTAAATGACATGAATTCCAAATCTGTTTACGTGTTAAATTAAAAAATCTATCTATTCTACTTGTTCTGTTTTTTTGTTGAGTTCAACAGATTTTTTTTCTTACATATATGTGAAAATATTGAAAATAATATTATATAAGAAATTTACATTTTCATAAATTACCTCCTGAATTTCTATAAAACTACATACCTTACAATAATGATAAATATAAATAAATTCTATGATAAATTGAACATTTTATGTTGTATGCAATGAAATAACAAAGTTAAAAATAACGTAGAAGATACTTATATGATATCAACAATTGCAAAGTAATTAAATTTTGATAAAAAAATGTATTTGAGATTGAAAGGGCAATCAAGTAATTACAAATGATTTTTAATTAAAATCAATGAATCTGATAACAATATTAACAAAAAATTAGCTCAAGGATATTATGGGTTGTGCTTGTAAATGCTTGGATCAATTCAATCCATCTTGCAAGTTGAAGTGTATATGAATTTTTAAAGTTATCTAAAAGTTTAACTCAAAGTTTGTCTGAACAATTGCAACTATCAGATATAAAATTCTATCAAGAAGTCAATGAGTTAGATCTGATGGTATTATTTGAATCAAATTTAGTAAAATTTATAATTATTAGAAATTGAAAATGTCATGTTTTGGGGACACCCTGATACCCATCATTCAATTACGTCAATTTAGATAAGTATGATGATGTTAGGAATGAGAACTAGGTTGCATCATTCACTTTAGATAAATGGATTTATATAATTTGGAATTATAAATCTACAGTTAATATTTCCTGAACACTAGAAAGTGTTTTACGTATAGTTAAATTTCAGCATACAATTTCTGAAGAATTTTATTATAATTTGGACTTTAAAGATGTATTATCTTATTTCGAATGAAATCTGTTGTTTGTGTAATGAGCTTTGTCTTATAGTGCAGTTTGTAAAGAATTTAGTCTGAATAGTATAAAAAGGAAACCTGACGTATTTCAAATTTTAAATAAAGAAAAAATTAAGAATATCAAGATAAAATTAAATGATCTCATTTGACTGTTATAGTGTCCGAATCTTATAAAACAATATTTCTAATTGAATATAGTACATATACAATATACATGCTTGTTTGCAGTTTTGCAAACCTTCAATTCTCTGTGATAGTGTCCATTCTTAAAACCATTCATACTTCAAATTTCAAGTCTCACTTTAACTAATGCAAGTTATTGATCATATGTACACATACAACAATGTTCAAATGATATATATCATGGACCCTTTCAGATATTACATTATTTTTATCTAATATATAAACTCATTTTCATTTTATAATTTTTTAATATGAAAAATTTTCTTTGGTTTTTATTTTCATGCATCAAATTATATATTTCTTTCACAAATCATGTGAGATATAGACTGATGTATTCAAAGCAAAACTATGAAGACTTTAAGATTTAACTCTTGAAGATTTTAATACCTTTGAGTGAACGGAGAGATAACCTTGTATACTTAGAACTTTCGAGAATTGTATTTCTCTATGATCCAGTATATTGAGTTGTACTTTGAACAAAAAAGTAAACTGAAAGACAAGTTTTGTATTTTAAATGCTAGTGAATAAGACGTTAACGCTTTAATTCGGATTGGGATAGTGGCCTCGGGGGAGAAGTCGGATGGTGACGGGTGAATGAAGAGAAGGATGCGGGCAAAAGGTATACACCGGAATTGAGTGATGGGGAAGAGCAGTATAGGGGAAAATGTGTGACTTAGTGAAGGATTGGAGCCCTCTTTGGTATGTGACATGCCGTGAATGGAGGCATGAGTTAATGCAATGAAGAAGCCGAGCCCCAGCCAAGAAAGCATGAGGGCATAAAGTAGTTAATGTAAAATGTGTTTTTATATGTTAGAAAGATTTTCATCACTATAAGGCGGGGGGCGGCGGTAGCAAGAAAGATGCGCTTACCCAAAGAAGAGTAATTCTTAATCAATAGTACTTTAAATCGTTTGCAAGCGAAAATTACCCAAATAGAGTTAAATTTAGCTTGCCACTATGACTTTCTAAGACCTTGGCTTTCCTTCATCACAATTCAAGTGGTATACATGACAAGAACAGGATCTTCAAAGGTGGCGGTCAGAAGAATATGTACGTAGAAAACATTAGAAGTAATCTGTTCATATGCAACGGCAAAAAATCGTAAATGAACATGCCTGTAGATATTAACTTTTCAAAAGAAATATTCAAAGAAAAAAAACTGTCAAGATTGAAATATGATTTGGTCTTTCAATAAATGTATGAGGATGAGCATATGGAAGAATCTATAACACAAAAAATGCATCAAAGCCCAACACTGCCGATGATGCGGCCAATGACACTGTAGGGAAAGTCCTCTCAAAAGAGGACCACAAGAAGTGGCAAAAAGGGAGGAGGAGACTCGTCGAAATCCGCCAATGCTGACTGGTTCAGCTGCGCAATAATGGATCGTTATATATAAAGTGTCGTGCTTAAGGAGTGATGGGCCTGGACGACGAGGGAAGCCAAAATATAAAACCGTAGGTGCCTCGATGGGACAGGGAAGCAGGTAGAGCAAGGGAAGAAAGACGGGGAAGGAAATCGTATTAAATGCGAGGCTTAATACAGTATGTAGAGGACGGGGCACAGAATCATGTGGATTGCATGGCATGATGGGCTGCGATGCGATGGTATGGCGCGACATAATGGATGTCACAAGAAGACGCGCTCTTTTCTGGCAGCGCCTGCGCTTGCTCCGCGCTCGTCCCTCCTCATCCATCGTCTCGGCGGCCCCAGCCTCCCGCTTCCCGCTCCGCGCTCCCGCTCCCGCTGCCATCCCCTCCCCTCCCCTCCCCTCCCCTGCGCTCTCTGTTCTCATTCTCGCCTCGCGTCGCGTCGCCCTGACTCCCCGATTTAGTTTTAGCTTCGGTCTGGCCCGCGGCGTCCTCATCGTGCTGCTTGCGCTCGTGCTTGTGCTCGTCGCCTTCGTCTGGCGTGTGCGTCTTCTTTTCTTCCCTTCTTCTTCTCCTTCCTCTCTTGTTCCTGGGGTCACAGCGCGCTTCTCGATCGCCCCGCCCTCTCCCGCCCTCTCGACGGCTCTCTGCGTGTCTGTCTGTCTGTCTGGCTGTCCCTTACTGCCCTCTCATTCTCTCATGCGTTTCGCACGGTCTGGTCTTCGATCGGATCTCGTCTCGCCTCGCCTCGCCTCGTCTCGTCTCGGCTGATCGATCGCTCGTGGTGACTTGCCGTGCAGTTGCGGTTTCTTGCACAACGGATGCGCTGTGCGCTGGTCTGCGTTGTCGGGTGCCTTGGGTCGTTCCTTCCGCGGGTCGGGATCTGTTACTCGTTAGGCGGGCTGCGTGTCTCGCTGCCGCGTTTGTGAAGGCTTTCCTCGTCGTGCCCACATCTTTTGATGTCTCTGTGAGTGCTGAATAGGTCGGTGGAGGAAGTTGGGCGTTGTTCGTTGGGGATGCCCCGGAGAGGACAGGTCGGTGCAATGGCTTAGGGATTACAGGATCCGGACGGTGTCACGAGTGGCCGTGGATCGGATTTCGTTGCTTCGAGTCTGCCGTGGAGAAGGTTGAGGGCAGGAAGTCACGGAGGTTGGATGATGATGATGAGAAGGAGGACGAGTTAAGATCTCGGATCTAGGTCGCGTGCACGGATGGCTTTGGGGCTTCACGAATCACTTCCCTATGATTTGTACGTGCATGCGGAATTGACGAGGATGTGTGGAAAGGTTGCTTGTAAAGCATTGGAGAACTGTCACAATCACTTTCTTTGTTGAAGTATCGAGGAGTTCGAATATTACTTGTCGGAGAAGACCGAACCAGGGGATCGAAGGCTACTAATTCATCGACGAGCATTGACTTGTGGAACGGCGGTCATTTCTGTAGGGTCTAATTGAACACCTAGCAAAAGGCAGTAGCTTTGTGGACTGATTCCTCTAAGAACCTACTTCTTTTCTTGCCAGATCAGTCTAACTTCTATCGGGAACTCGGGCATACAAAGTTTGGGAACTATCGAAGCACAGTATCTTTTCGGTACCATTCGGACGAGTGAATCTGTGTAGGTCGTGGTGGGTTCCCTAGAAATCAACTTGAAGCTGCGAAGGACAGGACTTGCCTTCGGCTGCACCGACCAGGCATTCGTGCCGTATTTGCATTGGACGGTAAAGGCTGGACATCAAAGGAACTATGAATGAAACATCAATTGAGGAGGGGAACGATGAGACTGTGGAGTGGAAGCAGATACCCGAGGTGACCCTTTCTGGCAAGGAAATTTTGGACTTAGAGAAAAGTGCGAAGCGTGTGTTCGTTGGAGCAGGGGCGCGCGTGCTGTTTTACCCCACATTGCTTTACAATGTAGTTCGGAATAAGCTTCAGTCGGAATTTCGGTGGTGGGATCAGATTCATCAGGTATCTTCTCCACTATTTTCCTTCTTTTATTGTAGAAAGAGACAAAGCTCGTAGTCGCCAGATTGATCTGGCGTCAGCTTTTGAACCGCTCGGTCATCAGATGTTCCCCGGAGTTTTCTCCGGAGTGTTCCCAGGATTCATCCTTCGTTTGTATCCGCGTTCTTAATGGATAACAAAGGCTTGAAGATTTTCCTCACACCATCTAGGCATTCTTGCTATGGCTCCGCCAGTTTCAAAGCAACTGAGGTGATTCTTCAGTTTGCAGGTAGATCAATTGCTTCGTGACATATCTAGGATTCTGTTTTTGAACGATCTGCCTGGATGGATGTTATTCAAGACTGAAGAGAAACCGCAACTCGCTAACATGTGACCCCCATGTTGGTATCGTGTAGTATGTGCTCCTAGGTGCCGTTCCGTTCCCTGGTGATGTGCCGCGCCTGAAGTCGCAAGGTGTTCGAGGTGTCGTTACTCTCAATGAATCCTACGAAACTCTCGTACCTACGTCGCTGTATCAGGTGCATTTTATATTTACAATCTTGATCTGTTGTCTTTGACAGACTGTTCAATACTTGCCAGGGCAAGGCGAGTTAGCGGGTTTTGACATCAGTGAGTTGATTTCGTCATGTCTGGTATTGACGTTCGGCTCGTACTGCAGAAACATGGCATCGATCATCTTGTCATTCCAACCCGGGACTATCTGTTTGCTCCTTCACTTGGAGATATACGCCGAGCCGTTGCATTTATCCATGGTTAGCTTCAATCCCAAAACTCGAACAAAGCGTTGGACCCTGTTGGACCAGAGCCTTTTAGTTTTAGCTTTTCCCAAATTGGTTGATATTAACTTGCACCTTCGCCCAATTTCAATTGTGAAAAGGCTCACTACTCATCCTGCGACCATTCTGCCTTTGGATTTTCAAACCTATCGGCAGTGTATTGCTTGTTGCCGATTTCTATTGGAGAGCCCCATTTCATTTTAACATGGTTGCACATCCGGTAATGGATGCATTGACTACGATGACGCCAGTTGAGGGTTTTATATGGATGCATTGATCTCTTCATGAAATCCAGTCCGTTCTTACTCTGTCGATTAACAAGCATGCCCCGCCTCTATTTTCAGATCACGTGCAACGTGGTGAGACCACCTATGTCCACTGCAAAGCCGGGCGAGGTCGAAGTACGACCGTTGTTCTTTGCTACTTGGTATGTTCAATATAAGTGCAGAAGCGAAATTAGCTAGCTGTTCTTTGTGAAAGATCTTCTGAATAGTTTTTCTTCCACTATCTCTTCATTTACTGGTGTAAGCATTTGTTACTAGTTTTCAAAGTAGTTGCAGCACGAGACTGACGAGATTCCTATATCGACATGTCAAAGGTGGAGCATCAAGGCATGACCCCAATGGACGCGTTCCAGTATGTAAGAGCCAAGAGACCCCGCGTACTGTTGGCAACCGCCCAGTGGCAGGTATACAACTGAATTTGAGCTTGTTGGACACCTTTTCCTCCTCCTCTTTGGCGCTTTAGTAGCTAGTACACAGGACTAAATTATTGTGAAAGCTCTGCAGACAAGATTGCAAAATGTCTGAATCGCTGCTTTGAACTCCGTTGACCTGACAATATGAAGTTTATTTGGGATATTTTTTAGCGAAATCTAATCTTTCTTGTTTATGGTCTATTCTGGACAAGTTTCTCCCAAGAGCTTATTAGTTGCCTCGGTCCTATGGGGCTTAGGGCAGTGCACGAGCGTGAGAACAGGCCCGAGCGACTGACGCGTGTGGTAGATTTAGCTCGGCTATCTTTCCATAATATCTAAAGCCTTGATACCGATGTATTGGCTTTTTGGTTGCTTGTGCAGGCTGTCCAGGAGTACAGCAAGCAGGTTGGTTCAAGCTTTGACCCTCAGTTGTCTCCGCTTGGTCCAACCATTCATCCTCAGATGTCCCTACTTCGTCCAAGGATTATCCCTCTACTTGGTTCAATATTTGGCCCTGATATGTCTGTACTTGGTCTAAGCTCAGGGCAGGCTCAGGTTCCACCAACGCGTCTAAGATTACCGTCATTTTTTACAGAAGAGAAGCATTCTTTGGGTATGATCAATAGAGTCTTGACGATCACCACCGGGAATAATACAACTAAAGAAGAGACAAGTAACGATGAGAGTTTGGATCGCTCAAAAGGAGAGGATAATGATGTCGGAAGTTCGGATCCAATAGACGAGTTGCCTGTGGTGGTGACCAGCCTTGATTTGGCTGGATACAGAAGCATTGAGGATGCGGGAATGATAGGGAACGATCTTTGGCAAGTCGGATTGTACTATCGAGTACGCTTGATTGCAGCCCGCAACGTTGTAAACGCAGCCGGAGCGGCAAAAGCCTCCATGGACTGGGCCCGCCTCTCATGTCTATTTCTAGGTTGTCAAGCCGAGAGCAGTCGGGTGCTGGCTGTCGACAGTTACCATCCTTCTGACGTGCCTCACACCAATCCCCTGGCGGTTCCTAGCCTGTTACACGATCAGCTTTCTATGGCGAGGCTTAGTTTACCCCTTTGTCAGTCAGGTATGGTCAATGGTTGAGTCTGAAAAGCCAAATTCAAGCGTTTCTTGGTCACATTCAGCTAAGGGGACTGACTTCACTTACTCCGCTTTACTCACAACAGTTTTCTGTATATAGTGAATCTGGGGTTTGAACAACAGTTTCGGGAGGTTTGTTTGTATAATTCATAAGGAAATCTCTGTATTTTACTGTGGATATCGCCTGTGAGCTTCTTTTCTTCTGTACCTTTTGTGCAGCTAGTTTGATATTTCAAATTCACTTACCAGTACATGGTCAGTTGCAAATACATTTTTAGGACACTCTTTGCAGCAGGTTGTAGCACAGTCATCAGCCTCACAAGTTGCTAGAATAACAGTTGGGGAATCTTGGTAGAGTTTTCCGCCCCACGCGAATCAAGGGAGTCATCCTTGCTGTCCATAGCAGACCCTGCATAGGGGCTTGTATCAGTTTAATTTTTTACATATCCTTACTATTTAGAACTCTGTTCTGCCTCATCATTTTGACTATTGGACTCAAGAAGGTACAATAGCTGAAACTAGCCTTTTAGTTCCTCATAGAACTGTATCTACATCCTAGTTGTGAACTTCCTGGTCTGGGTGTAATAGGCGTGCACTAAAACTGTGTGCAGAATGTGTACAAAATTTCTTCCCGGGGGCATGGGAAAGTGAAGTCCACACTCTACGTTGTACTCAGAACCCTTATATCAGCGAAGGCAATGAACGTAAGAATTGATTTGAGGTGTCGAGGTTACCGGAATGTTTTGTGAAGTGCATGTTGGTCGAATGAATTATCCGCGTTTATTTTGTGTGTTGAGTGCACTGTTCATTGTACTCAACCGTACAATGATATGCGTGTCAGAAATTCTGGTGAGACTACAGGGAATCACCGTAGTTGTTTGACGACGAGGGTCTCAGATTTCTATCTCATGGAATGGATCTCATAGAATCTGGGCACACTCCGTTGCAGTAGTGTCATATGCACATAGCGTCGAAAATCATGGCATTGTGTTTCTTGTTAAGATGTGCAGCGCGACTTCTTGATTGTTCACATGTGAACTTTCTGAGGCGAGAAAGTCTGACACCTGTGTACTGGACCTAGGCTCTTAATGTTGCAAGTCGACATGTATGGAATGAAAGCTTAAATGGTGTGTTCGATTATCAAATGAGGGCTAGCAGATTTTCACAAATGACAGATTCGTACGAAATTTTACAGGTCATGCCGCCATGATTCTCACAGAAAATGGCAGGGAGCGTACTGATGAAGTACTTACATATATACGCTCTTTTCCCACTAGCTTCTGGACCACCCTTGAATCCTCTACTTATCGTCTTACTTGCTTCTTTTCGTGCCAGAAAGTCGACGTACTTAGGTACTAACACGTGTTCGAAAACAAATTTACAGTTCCTTTGCTTACCTTGATAATTATCAAGGAATATTAGTATACTGAAGGACTAAACATAATGTATTCTCACATCTCATTTCCAAATCAAAACCATGGGCAAGTGGTTAGAAAAGGGCGGGTCGTACAGGGAAGATTTGAGAAGGTTGTCAGTTCTTTGTCCAAAAGCAAATGTGAAAATCATGCTAAAAAACAGTCAACCTAATTTTACCTGTGTCGTAATAATATACTCGGATTATTGATTTGTCCATCTCTGCACGGTTACATATAATGAGTGCACTGCAATGATAAAACTAGACATCATGACCTTAATGATTGTGAAGTACTGCAATAAAGAAGAAGTAACCATAGATGTGAAGTACTGAATTCTATATATACTGCTTTGAAACTGTATACTGGCATAAGTGGAACGAATTTTTATTAAGGTGGCACATATATTTGTTGGCATGTTCATTTGTGCTGAGAACTATAGTGCTTGTGTACGAGAATGTGACTTGCATTCTATTCATTATGAAGTAGTTTTAGATGACTTTCCACTTTATTTACATATGCTAACAACATTTGAGATTTATTTTTTCATGTGTATAACATATCAGCTAAAGCGATAAATGATTTATGTTCAACATGTTCACGATTTTATAAAGTTTTATATGAAATTTTGTTAACTGAGTATGATATGATTTCCTTGCTTTTAAATAAATCGAAAGCAGTTTTTAACATTCCGTGAAATAATAGTAATTTATTAAAAACAAGAAAAAAAATCTGGAAATACTAGACGTATATTTTTTGTTCTTATTTTCATTTTAATCGTATATTTTTTTCAATGTTGAAATATTCATTTTTATATTAAATAAATATATTTTAGTGCTAATAACTTCTTTACAATAACTATGTAATAATCTTTTTCCTACCATTAACAATTTGTCCCACTCTCATATTGTTGATACGTTTGGACATTGTGTATATCTCATTTCAAAACTCGTATTGGGTCATTATGTTCATAAGTCAACTTTTCTGAGTTGCACTAGTGTTGAATAAAGGTAGAGTTAAATTTACTAAACTATAATGTCAAAACTAAAATCTTCTGCACGTGGGGTTTCCGACAAATGTTATGACAACATCTTAGAGTTGCATACACTAGCAATCACATATTCAATGCATGTTCTGACCTCATGTTCAAATTTAAATTAGCGTTTCACAGACCAGATTTTAAAACTTGTAATTAGTATATATTTTTGTTTTTCACAGTAAATAAAAACAAAAAATCTGTGATAATAGAACGTATTCAAGCAGTGCATATAGAAATCTTTTGGAAATTATGTTCACAGTTAGCAGAATCAGTAATTTATTTCTTAATTTCACAGATATATCCTTCTCATTGTAATTGTAAAAATATTGTTGAAAATATTTTTTGGATCTTAGATATTTGATTTTTATGAAATAAAATATATTTAATTGAAAATAAGATGCGATGAAAATCTAAATTATTTTCTTCTTGTATAAGCGTAGATAAAATCTTTGTTAGAAAGAAACTTTAATCATAGGCAGTTAGTGCGGTTAACATGTTACTATATAAGAAACTTGATCTTAGTTTCAATAACAAAAATAGGATTTTAATATAATAGTATCATGTTTCCAGGAGATTTATCACGAATCTTATGTTTTGTTAGTACCTTCTTCATTGCAAAAAAATTTCTTTTTAAACACATTGATATGATTACAAAATGAAGTTAAACAACAGATATGAATTAAGATATTTATTTAAAAAAATATTTAAAATTTAATATCATCCATCTGAAAAATTCAACACAATTTTCAATGATGGTTCCTGTATGATTTTTCAAATTGTATCTATTCATCTATGTTATGTATTTGAGTGATTTTGACACATTCAAAAATAACTCAAATATATACACGTTTCTATTAGATTAGGTATTATTAGATTCGTTCGCAATTAATAAAAACAAGAAAATAAAATTGACTTGCATCAAATAAATTTTTGTTATATAAGCTTATGATTTTGTGTTGTGATTTCGATAAGAAAAAATTATTCAATAAATAATATGATATTAAGATCTATAATATACAGAAGTCGCATTTGAAATTTGAAGAATAATATGAAAATTTATGATAAAAAATTTTAAGATTAGTTACTTTAAAATCTTGGTCTTGAATTTTTTCATTTTCAATGTGAGAATTATATAAAAAACCACGCATCATCAAGATGCAAATAATGGTTCACATCACCGTTTTTCCTGTACATAAATTATTTTATGAAAAAAAATTAATTTTTATTACGTATAGTGTTTGCTTGTAGTTTTATGTTACAGTAGTTACTTCATCAAAACTAAGTGGAGGTTTCAAAACTTGACATGACTACAGAATTTTTATGCAAGTATTTATTTCATACTAGAATAATTGTAAGGATATACGAGATTTAGATGAAGTAAAATAGATTGAAAAAAAAACAATTTTCATACTCACAAATTGTGAAAAAAAAATACTAACACAGAAGTGTTTCATCTTTCATACGTCAAGATTACTTAAAACATGTTTCTAGGTTTGTAAATTGTTTAATTATGTGAATGAAGATTTGAATTGATGAGTAATCAATGATGATAATGATGATAAAAACAAGTTTGATACATTTTCTTGATATTTGATTGTATATTAGAAAATATGATATATTTTGTGAACTTTAGAATTAAAACGATGCTAAAGATGAACATTTAACCAGAGTGGTTTTTAAAACATGAGAATATATATGAAAACAGTGTGGAACATAGATTAATTATAAATGTAAAATCATAACAATAATCAAATTTTGAAATATTTCCTGGTGCTATATACTTACATGGTGGTACTTATATGTAGCCATGGGGCTACACAAAAGCCTTAGTGCATCTTTCTCTTTAATTTATTGCATAGCGTACTCGAGACGTAGCGTCGATGCAATCACCATAATTAATCCGTCTTCACATGCGCTGCTGTTAGTAGACTGTTTGAATCATATAAATTACGCGTATTCATCATTTTGATGCTATAGGTTACTGGTCCCATGTTAAGCTTTTGGTTTCTTCACTGTTAGACCAGATGGGGTCTCTCCATCATCAATGCCAAATTACTCGGTGCCCTGTCTCGCCTTGCTACTATTTCCCAAGACGACGATTTCCAAATAGGTCGGCAATGTGCCCCATGGACAGAGCCTCGGTGCTCTGCTAGTCCCCGGGCCCGCAGCTGCTCGCAAGGATTACGAAGGATTATCCTCGGAAGATGAATTCTTGCTCTCTGCTTGCCGGAGATCGTGACTCGGATCTGTGAACTGTTTGTTTGGCTTGTCGAAGCACTATGCTATCCAGTCTCCGGAAGGTCTCAATCTCACACGGTCCTCGTAACAGCGACGCATAGTACATGCACCTGTGATAACAGTTTTGGAAAGCTTGTGGCCACTGCCATCAAAATTGTGAATCGTGACCTCATGCTGGACGCTCGACTTCTGCTTACGTCGCGCGTTCGTTCGGAGGAACATTCTTAAGTTCTTCTCCCAGCATGGCCTGGCATGGCTACTCCTCGACGACAGTCTTACTCAGACGGTTCTGGCCAGCTCAGGTTTGGAGTTCACGTGGACATGGGGAATCTGAGTTTCATCCACATCTTCCTTCGACTCACCTCGCAGATATTTGTCTGAATCCGCAATCAATTACTTACATCTCGCCAAGAGGGATATACCATGTTCTATGAGCATACAATGTTTGCATGTATTTTTGTTGGCACGCGCTATCATACGAACTGGGGCAATGTGCAACGCGATCAACAGACAAGGAGTTCGATTGGAAGATTCTCTTGGCGCATCGAGTATCCCCCGTCTCAAAAGCGGGAATCAATATCTCATCGAGCGTACGAGTTGAATGAACTGCATGTATCATTGAGGTGCAGGAACGACGATGGTGACAGGCGACCGAGCAGTGGCGACAGACATCCCACATTTCAGAGAATCTCGCATGTCTTCACGGCTTTCGAGCACTAGAGGTCAGTCGGTTTTAGAACTGTGCGGCAACAGTAGCTACATTCCCGCACCGTCAGAACGACCATAGCCATCGGTTTCTTAACGGTGCCATGAGAAGTCGGTTGCGCCGTCAGTCGGTCAGTCAGTGGGTCAGTGCGCAGAAAAGTTAGGCTGCCGACTCCGTGACAATCACCGAGCTGTTGAAGCCATGTCAATCAATTCCATGGACGCATCACGGGAACATCAACTTCTACTACTGGAATCACCCAGTCGGTCAACGCGATCCCTCCTAAAGACAATCTCAACCTGATTCTCGAAGCTCTGCGGATCAGGTCCTCGAATCCTTTCACTGTGAGACTAGTTCCGTGTCGATGATGTCCGGAACGCGTCATGTCAACCAACTGACTCGAGTCCCACTCAATTCTCGACGTACCGGCGATGGCGAGATGGCCGGTGCCGTCCAAAATGCCCGAGGTTAGTGGTTAGCAACTGAGGCCGACAGGAGGCCGTGGCGGAATGCGCCATGTGGAGAAGCTTGATGCGATCGATGATATCCGCGTCCCGATTGGCAGTGATGGCAACCTGCTGTCCTTTGGCTTGAGAGTGAAGGAGGCCAGCTCAGAAGTTTGCCTCTTGTGCTTGTTCAAAGACCTGAGAGAGCTTTTCATCGATGCTTCGTCGCCGTGAGTACGGCCACCGGATTGGTTTGGATTGGATTGGATCGGAGAGGAAGAACAAGAGTCCGAAGCCACGGAGTTTCGAAGCAAATCGCCCTGAGATGGACGAGCCGAACAATTCAAGCAGAAGGCGAGAGAAGAAGTGGGACTGAAGGAACAAAGATTCTTGGTTCGATCGTTCTCGTCTCGCTTCCCCTTCTTCGTCCTCCTCCAGTTCTGGCTTACTTTAGCTGTCGTCTGTCGGGCTTGTCCGGTGCGCTGTCTGAACAGGAGAGGAATCGATGAATTCTGTGCTCGGTGCTGGTGAGTCAGGCGGAGGCGAGGCGGGCCGAGGATCAAGGCCCGACGAGCTGGGGCTGGATTCATGAAGTGAAGAACGGAGAACGACGCGCTTCGGTTCTGATGGTCTATCGCATACGCCAAGAGGCCCGAGGTCTGCAGAAGATGATGAAGGCGATGAAGGATGGAATGGGGACGAGATTCATCCGAGAGCATGCGAGGGGAGGAGGAGGAGGAGGAGGAGGAGGAGGAGGAGGAGGAAGGGGGGAGGGCCGGTGGAGGGACCCAGGGAGGGCATGGTGGAGTGCGGAATAGGGATCGCATGGTCCAGAGCACTAGAGACACAGTGTTGAACATCGCAGTCGCAGGAGCAGGAGCAGCAGCAGCCGCAGCAGCTGTGCTCGGGAAGGAAGTCGGGGCCCGCCTGTCATGCTAGAAAGTGCCTTGTCCTCCCTCGTCTTTCGCTCCATACGCCTGACGATTCGCCCCCAGCTCCACCTTTTCCCGATGCGCCCCGGCGTCATGGACCAGACTCCTGACCTGGCCGGGCTCTCGTACTCCATCCTGGCGACGCTGTTTCTCTCTCTCCCTGTCCTGTCCCTCTCTCTCTCGCGCCCCCCCGTTCGCGTTTGCGTTTGCGCGTGGCCTCGACTTTCGCCCCGTCTCCTCGCGCAAGTTCTCCCCGGTCGGTCCTTATCTGAGCCTCGCGAAAGCTCGCTGACTTGGCCGCCTACCTCCACCCTCCCCGCTTGAAATTTGCCATCGATCTCGTTCCTCGCCTCCAGATTCACAATTCATTCCGCGCACGCCTTTCCACCATTTGACCCTGAGCCCCGAGCCCCGAGCTATCGGTCTGTTGGGTTCCCACCCTCCCCTCGCTTCGGTCGGTGTCATCAGCGTCGAGATGGCGTTGGCGAACGTGAATTGGTGAACAGTCGCTGAACCCACTTTCTGGTCGGACTCGGAATTTGATTTGATTGATCGCATTCACTGATTGCGAGAGTGATCGAGTGATAGAGTCGGTGCGTGAGTGCATGGTTGGTGGGAGCGGGGTCGAGGCGCGAGTCGAATTTCATAATTCAATGCGATACGGATTAGGACTGGGAGGAGGAGGAGGAGGAGGCGGCGGCGGAGACAGCTATGGGGAACCCGGACTATTGCATGAAGCTGCTGCTGATCGGGGATAGCGGAGTTGGCAAGAGCTGCCTGCTGTTACGACTCTGCGACGACTCATTCTCGAAGAGTTTCATCACCACCATCGGCATCGACTTCAAGGTGAAGACCATAGATTTAGAGGGCAAGCGCGTGCGGCTGCAGATCTGGGACACGGCCGGGCAAGAGCGCTTCCGGACCATCACCACGGCGTATTATCGGGGGGCGATGGGAATCCTGCTGGTCTACGACATCACGGACCAAGCCTCGTTCTCCAACATCCGCAATTGGATTGGCAGCATCGCCGAGTACGCGTCCGAGAATGTGAACGTGATTCTGGTCGGCAACAAGGTGGACATGGACGAGACCAACCGCAAGGTCGAGACCGCCGAAGGCCAGGCCCTGGCCGACGAGTTCCAGATTAAGTTCTTCGAAACGAGCGCCAAGACGAACACGAACGTGCACGAGGTGTTCGCCTCCATCGCTCTGGATATTAAGCAACGCCTCGAGCCCCAAACGAACCAGCCGAGAACCCATTCCGACTATAGCAGGCAATTCGAGCCGAGGCAGGTGCAGCAATCCTCTGGCTGCTGCGGTGCCTCGTAAGCCAGCCAGCCAGCCAGCCAGCCGGCCAGACAAACAAACGAACGAACACAGATGCTTGGCTTTTGGGCGGCAGCCTTGATTTGGATGTTTAGGTATGTGTAAAGCTTCGAGAAATTCCAGAGGATGGAAATTCCGCTGGGATGCTCGGACAGTCATCGAGGAGGAGCAGGAGGAGGAGGAGGACGACGACGATGAAGAAGATGTTGCTGAGATCGGACCGGGCTAAAGTTAGGCTGGTCGCTGCCGGGCCATAGACAGAGGCAAATTGCAGATCCGGAGAAGGCGAGGACGAGGACGAGATGAAGGGTCGCACATATCGTATAATCAGGTAATCTCATCCCGGGTCTCTGAATATTTTCCACCGAGGTGCTCACCATCGCGATGGTGATGTGAAAGCTTGACGAACGCGAGGACTCGAATTTCACGCGGCTACATAGAATTACACCGACTCCCGTTGCCTCCATATTGCTTCTGCAGAAATGCAGAAGATCGGACGAAAGAGAATATTTTCTGTAAGTGAAGCGCTTTAAGATTCCGAAGAGATGCTTTGACGCCTCTTCTCTTGTTCTCTAACGAAGTCCAGCCTTTGCATGTCCAGGAATGGATCTGAATTTCATCCTCTTTGTGCCTTGTATGTCGATGTTTGTGCCATGATTCTCCATAACTCCACCCTCCTCGGGCCAACAGATCAGGTCCACTTTCGGCAGTAGTAGACGCGGTCTGAATGGTACCAGCTGCTCGAAGTAGAATCCATCTACCAAAGTACAAACAATAGAAACAAATGCTGGGCTAGGCCCATGCATGCTAGAGTAGTAATGCGAGTTCCGACGGTGCTGGTGTTGTACGCCCTTGAAGATTAAATGTACAACAGGAATCTGAACAGGGGAGCCAACTTCTACAACACGCGGAAAGCATGGATCGGCGGTACCTGGTGCTTAGGAACAGTCTTGACGAGCAGTAACGTGAGTCGCTCTGGGCATGTGATGCAGAAGCTCTGTAAAATCCTGAAACTGCAATTGCCAATAGTACAACGCTGGAAATCGTCTCGCTCGTACCTCTCACGAGTTTCGTCAGACAAGCATGTCCCTGGGCCCTCTGGAAGATTGGATGTCGCAAATTGTTTTCGAATAAGCGAGTTCTGTGCGCGGCCAGTCGCTGTCGTACAGTCCACCTTTTCCGTGTACGGCAGGAAACGTCACAGAAGAGCACAAGCTGTAGATCAGATTTCCACAAAAGCAGTACGAAGCCTTTTAGGACTGCGGAGTTGCACAATGCTGAACACTGTCCTGTACTCAAGAAACTCCTTTAACTCCCGCGTTGGCAACTCAGCAAATCCGAATGGTCGCAGCAGCAGCAGCTTCGCTGAAGCTATACACAGTGTGACCAACATAAAATATTGCTTATTCGGAGACATATTGCGAGATTTCAGCATTTAAAAGCCACAGGTCCTTCCACATGGTGTCCTTGAAACCTGAAATCTACCCACCAAATAGTATTGCCCACATGTCCAGTCGGATGAGTTCTTCCCCTCCGTGTATGGACACAGAGTCCTGTCCTGGATTCAGCTGAGCGTTGGGAATGGCGCAAAGCCTCGCAGCAACGTCGAAATTCCTCCAGAAGAAGGCACATCTGAGCTGCTCATGGAGATGCAGCGGACTTAAACTGCAGTGCCCATTCTTTCTTGAGGGTGGGCTGTCTAGCTTTAGCGGAAACGCAGACTTTGAAATGTCATTCCATGAGAGAATGGTTCGTTTCTACTCAAGGATTGAGGAAAAATTTGGATTTCGCCTGAGTCTCTGACTCGATCGGCTGCCACATCGTAGACTCTTACATATATCTTTCCATGTCAACTGGCTTCATTGGACTCCGGCCCCTCGACGTTTCTTTTCTAGGCGAACGCGCATGGCCTAGAGGTCCTCTCAAGTGGACCAGTGTCTGTCCCTCTATCTAGAAGAGCACGCCTGCTGTTCTGACATTTCTCAAATTCTCTCTCGGATCATATAGTTTAGATTTTAACAATCATAACTCGTACTCGTGAGCATTTCTGATTCTTCAAGCTTACTGGTAGGTACGGTTTCAGCCAGTTTTGAGACGATCTCTGTCTATGGAATCAGAAGTCCACAGAGGCACAAGGAAAGCATGGCGAATCTGATGGTCTTTGCAGTTCGAGTTTGTTCTTGGAACTAAGCTAAAGGGGACCCGCCGGGACACGCTCATCCATTTTCATGATTTGAAGAGTGCCGTAATAGAGTCAGTCATACTTGGTGCTCACGTATTCCGATGATCGTTTCTAGTCAATACCTTTAATGACTGACGACCTCAATTTTCTTCCTTCCTTGGAGTTGACCCAGTAAAGCATGAAAACATGGAGACTCTACGGTGCCTAGGCTGTAGGTCGGTTAGATCACTGGTGAGAAGAACTTCGAAGAAAGGGATTGGAAGTTTGGTGGCAACGGAAGTACAGAGTGAAATCCTGTACATGCAGAAAGAGACGTATCGATCTCGATTGTCGAACAGCGTTACACGGTTTAACCTCGAGCGAGCGACAAACTTGTACCCTTGCACTGACGGAAATGATGTCATCGATGACTGCAGCGAGCGCTTGCCTACCCTTTCTTGTCTTGTACACGAGCGAACGAGCGGTCGGAAGACGCAATGTTTTTGGAACATCGCTCTAAGGATATGGATGAAGTGTATCAATATGTCTCTTACACACTCAAGGAATTTTCGCATGAGTTATCCAATTTCAAGTGTGGAAATGAGTTTTCCATCTCCAGAAATCCGGTGCTCCCACCTTTCGGGATTAAACTAACGAGTCTGAAACCTCGAAATGTGGAAACTCTTGAGAAATATAATCCCACCCGACGCAAACATACGCGGAATTGTAAGAATACTTTTCACTTTTCCGAGCGAAATACAACTACTCCAACTCCGAGTAGCTGCAGACAGTTTCTAATAGCAGTTTCTCGATATCTACATGTATTATGATGCAGAAAACTACACATATGTCAAAAATTATATTCCAGCTCATGTGGGTCGACACTTGATGAACAGAATGATCTGAGGACTCGTACACATGCAAAGGCTTCAGATTAAGTATCCTGTACTCGAAGGCCATGGATGTGCCCCCGAGAGTCGGCTTGGACTGCCACAAGAGGGATCCCAGCAACTTGTTCACATGTTTCAGGACTCTAATCTAGGAGACGTACTCTGGTGGAATGTTAGCAGGCATGATGCGGTGAAACTTCATTTGAATGCACAGCTCCTCATGGAAGTTCACGCAGGATGATGACGAGCGTTCCAATATTGTCAGAAGCGCGTGCGCGGGACCTTGCTTGGGAGCATTTGAACTCGAATGTTCATGACTAGATAGCAACGGCGTCAATTTCCAAGATTTCTGCTAAATCTCTTGGTGCATTTGAGGAAAATCAACAGTAAAGTGCGATGTAGAGATGTAATGTCCACGCTGACATAACTGACCTCACCAGGCAGAGTGTTGTGGTTGTGTTGTTAGTGTCCGAGCGGGGCTAACAGTAGCATTATGTTTATGATGCTAACCTTATGCATCTATTTAATGTTGATGTCTCTTCAATAAACTATACTTATCTCACAACATGGTATCATAGCCTTCTTTCGATCCTCTTGCGGATGATGATAGTGCGTCCTTCCAGCCGCCAGCCAGCCTTCTGCTTTCACGTTACACCCTGAGGAGAAACTCACTTGGGTGACTCAACTACATGAATTGTTCCATCCGTTTGAAGACGATGCTGAGGTACAAAGGAGTATATGAAGAGACTGTTCTTGATTCGGTTTTCCTTGGTGGTACTGACGATGTTGCTATTCAACACTGACGAATTAAGTCCATTGCAATGATCCAGGATAGTGTATCACTTGATATCCTTTCATCTATTGCTGAATATGAGAACAATCCCTTTGAGTTGTGGGTTTATCTGCGCACTCTCTATCAGTCTAATAATGCTCAACTATGCCTTATGCTAACTGAGAAATTGGCTAATGCCAAGCTTCGTGCTCCTGTTACAGTCGATGTCTATCTTCAGAACATTCAGATTCTCAAAACACAGCTTGCCGCAATTGAACATTTTCCCTCTGATATTGATCTTATTCCCTATACTCTTAAGGGGTTCCCCTTGTCTTGAGCTCCATTCGTCTCGAATTTCAATAGCGATCTTTCCCGCGATCCACCACCAGGCTTTACTGACCTTGTGCAGCGTTTGCTGACTAACAGTACTTGGATTAACGGTCACGAGGAGGAAGAATCTGCTGATGCAGTCTATTGATTCTCCCGCAAGCCGTGACTTTCAAGGCCATATTCCCAACAAAGTACCACACAATATTTTTGAACTAGAGGGAGTAACTCTAACGGGTCAACTTAATCAAATGATTGATGTAACTACTGTGGCAGATTCAATATTGGGAACAAGAATGAGATCTTAAAAACTTGACGAGCAGATTTTGTAGCTCCAACTTAGGGCCTCCAACATGCGGCGCATGAAGGTACAAGCTTATGCTGTTCGATAGTGGAGATGAATAGTGCGATAGTGGAGATGACTCGGCTGACCGAATATCAACAGACTTAGAAGCCAAAATGGCAATTAGAAAATCGTGAGGTTATTTCTTAGATTCAAGTGCAAGTCGTCATGCGATTGGTGATAAAACTACTCTTAGTTTCTTTCAACCTCGATCCGGGTTTCTCGATCCGGACTTTCCACCGCCAATGAAGCTAGTCCAGATGTTGTTGGCAGAGGTACACTACGTGTTGACGCAAATAAAGAGATAAATCCTATCCTTTATGTGCCTTATCTTACCATGAACTTGCTATCCGTTGGTAAACTCACCGATTTGGAGCATTTTGTGCTTTTCACTACTGCTTATTGCTTTATTATCGATAAAACCAATCTCAGTAACATCTACTTATATGGCCGACGTGACCCACACACCAAACTGTACAGACTACTTCCCAAACTTCATAAAGTCAACGTGCAATCACTCTGATCATTGCTTAAGCTCCTCTTGTTGCAGAAGGTGACACCCGACATATCTACGGATCCCACCTTTGTGGCTATCTAGTAGAAGATAGCTATGAGTCAAAGAGTACATCTTCTTGTGCCACTAATTTGTGGCACAAGCGTTTGTGTTGTATTCGACACCAGAAGGTCGATCACATGGCTTCTAAGAGTTTTGTTCATGGCCTCTCTCCGCTCGCCGTAGGCAAAGATAATAAGTGTGAAACATGTGTGCTCACAAAGCATAACAAGTTTTGAAGATCCAAATAAAGCAAGAAAAAAACTACACGGTCTTTGAAACTTATTCACAACGATTTAAGTGGTTCATTCAAAGCGAATACTGATTTCAAGTACCTTTTGACCTTCACTAACGATTATGCTTGATTTATTTGGGTTCGTTTTCTTCGCTTAAAAAGTGAAACTTATTATCACTTTAAGTAACATGTCTTACTTGTGGAAAATCTTTATCTGCATAAAGTTGCTGCTGTGTGGCACAACAAACACAATTAATCACCACAACTCTCGTCTTTTTAAAGTGATAGAGGAGGTGAATACCTTTCTAAGGATTTTAAAAGCTATTGTCGACAAAAGGGTATTGCTCGACAACTAACTACAACATCAACTCCCCACCAAAACAACATTTCTAAGCGTAAGAATTAAACTCTTTAAGAAGCAGCTCGTTGTATCTTCAATACTTATAAGTTTCCAGCTCATCTTTGGATGTAGTTTTTGAGAGCTATTAATTATGTGCTAAATTATTGTGCATTAAATTTGACTATGCCATATGAAAGATTATGGCGTTTCACTTGATTTAACACGACTTTGAGTAATCGGGTGCATTGCATATGTGCACATTCCCTCTAAATAAGCGGACGAAACTTCAGCCCAAGGCAAAAAAATGTGTGCTAGTTGGCTACGATGACGAATCCAAAGCTTATAGATGCAGGGACCTGTTAGCTCGTCGCATTGTTACTACAAACGATGTTACATTGTTTGAGCACATTCATGGAAATTTTGATGATGTCCACAATTTTGTGTATCTCTTCAGCAGCTTTGATGAAGAGGATGAACTTCTTGATTTGACATTACTATTAGAGGGGGTTGTTACTTCAGATGGCAATTTTGAGATGTCTGACGACCTCGGGATACTCGACGCACCACTACACAAACATGAGGCACACGTTGGTAACTCTACAAACGACAGTTTACTGCCTAACTCTCCTTATACTAGTCTAGTCCGATGGGCTCCTCCACAGGGTCCCAGGATAAACCCTCCACAAGCAGATCGTCAATTACCACAATTACTTGGAGACAACTATCACATACCTTCATTAATTTGTTGGGACTACAAGACCAGTGAACGGTCAAATAATTGTCACTCAAGCATTTCAAAATCCACTTTGAAGGAAAAAAATGCAAGAGTAATTCAACTTTGTCATTGCCAACCTTACCTGGAAATTCGTGACACTCCCATAAGGTAAACATGCTTTATTTTCAAAATGGATCTTTAAGGCCAAACCTCAATTATATCTAAAGTCTCTATGCTTGAAAGTTTGTTTGATTGCGCGTGGCTTGGAACAAAAGTTTGATATTGATTATACTTAAACCTCGGTTGTTTGCTGATCATCCCTACTTGTGTTAATCTCACTTTCAGTAGCACTTGGATGGAAATTGCATCGTATGAATGTAGTTACAACGTTTTTTAATGGAAAATTGAGGAAACTCATTTACATGAAACAAGCTTTCGGGTTTGAGTTTAAATGCAAGGAAGACCTAGTTGTTTTTTTAATAGATCAATTTATGGACTAAAGCAATCCCTGAGGCAATGGTATGAAGAAATCAACAACCATCTTACATCTATTAATTGGAGTTGAAGTCAACTCGACCTCAACATGTAATTCCTTAGTGGGGCATCATCATTACAGTGCTTCTGTTGATGTCAATGATTTACTACTGCTTGATAACAGTTCTGCCAAAATAAAAACTCAACTTCTTTATCGGTACAAGATGAAAGATCTTGGCCCTATCTTACGTTAGCTCAGTGTGGTTTCCTATCGCGCAACTGATAAGAACATGTTTTTTCATCAATAATAATATATTGCACAGCTCTTTGAGGAATGCAAAGTTGATCTACTATGATTGAGTACTTGCTTCTCCTAGTGGGTCACATCCTTGAAGCTGACATTGGTACCCCATTAGTCATTGTCTTGGCTTTCTGTCATATCGTAAAAAAATTAATTCTTTTATGCCACACTAGGCCAGATCTGTCTTACGCAGTTGCTATGATCAATTGATACATGCATTCACCTCAACGAGCCCACAGGGACTCTATTTATCACATCAACTTCATCCAAGACTTTGATACACTCTAAAAGCGCCAAAGTTCAACTTCTCTTCACGGATGCTGACTACCTAGCTGTCGCAACACTCGCCAATCAATTGGTTCTTACTTATTCAAGCTGGTTGATGGTTCCATGTCTTGGTCCTCAAAGCAGCAACCTATCTACCTCTCAGACAATAGAACAGAATTTGAATACAAGTCAAAGCAAAGGGGCAACTAAAGAGAGCTTTTACATGTGACGATTGATGACAGACCTCCAAGTCAATACTCTAGCTTCAATGACCATTGCATGTCACGACTCTGAAATACAAGCTAACCTGAAGCACGCCAACACTCAAACATCAGCTGATTTATATTTTTCTTGTGACAATCAAGGTGCAGTAAAACTTGCTCACAACCTTATTTTTCACGCAAAGACAAAACATATTGAGCCCAAGCATCACTTTGTGAGAGAACAAGTTTTAGAGGAGGAAATTCAACTTGATTACATACAGAAGACAATCCCGCGAACCTTCTCACAAAGACTCTACCGCGCCATAAGTTTGAAAAGCATAGAGAATCTATTGGGTTCTGTTCATTAGCTGAAGTACAAGCAAGTGTTACAACCTAATATTTATTGTTACGAGCTCTAACTCTAGATATGACCTGAAAGATTGTTTAGATATCTCTGACATATCGTGATGCTAATGTTCCCCTCGAGAGGAGGTTTTGTAAGATGCAGTTAGTATCTGAGCGAGGCTAATATTAGCATTAGGTTTAGGATGCTCACCTTATCGTCTTCTTGTTTCGATTAGTTCATGATGTTAATCCAAGACGTACGTTTTAGGTCAAGTGCATAACTGAACTCCTCATGTTACTTCGAGCAACAATTTAATGATGCTGTCCCTTCAGTAAAGTATACTGTCTGTATCTCACAACATGTGTCTCCTCGCTCTCAGTTGTCGAGGAACCTCAACATGTGAAAGAATTTCCTGAGTTGTTGTTGAGTAACGAGGAGGAACAGAGAAGCCATGTGCCATGCTTACGTTGAAGTACTTCTCTTTGTGATAAAAATCCTGTATCCGTGCTGTATTTTCTAAGAAAAAGTCTCGTCGATAGTCTTTACCTTAAAATTGTCCATTGCTCTAGTACTCTGCTTTCTAACACAAGCCTTCGATTACAGAAATGACAGCAGCGACGGAGGCATGTATACTTCCACTATGATGAAAAGGATTTCAGAGATTTGCGAG